ATAATTTGCAGAAAAATGGAAAACTTCAGCGTTTGCCTCACCCAGCTTAAAAGCCTAACGTTGCAAATCATACATTTTTTGAAAAGGGTCCATTTTTATGGAAATACGACACCACCTGGTCGTCAAATTAGGCTGATATTGTGCATCAAATTATTAGGAATCAGTGTTTTCCTTACATCCAGTAGACCTTACATCCAACCATTTGACGTTTTTAAATGGTATTATATAAGTAGAAAATAGGACTTGAACGAGAAACAACCGAAAAAAGCCCAACTGTTCATCAGCCACCTTACCTTTTTTTTAACAATTTGATGTTTTGTTAGGGTAATTTCTATAAATGGATTGATGCAATACCATACATTCACATAAATATAGTATTATCTACAACACAATATTCAGGGCGGATGTACACAGTGTAAACAGGCGGTGGGAATAATTCAAAACGGGGTATACACACGTTAAAACAGGAGCTTTGGGCAAATGGGAAACGTTGAGCTTTCTATTTCATATATTATTCAAGGCGTTCCCACTCAGGTGAAAATTCTTTAAACCCTGTATGCGAATGTCTTCCGTCTTTATTTCCTCCGGAAATGTCCCACTTGAAAAATCCTTTTTTTCCCTCGGTTCTTTTCTTTTCGGCAGAATAACATAAAATGTTAACATTCCTACCCGGTCGCGAGGGAAGTGAGTCTTTTAACGCTTAATTTTTCGAGCGAAACGAAACGCCCCTTTAAGTTGGCCATTATCCTAATTGCTCGCTGGCAGGTGGAAGATCTTTTGATTAGTTCTACTTAAGAGGTAGTAAGAGCCCTATATTTAATGACAACACTTAAAAGGAGTAAACGTTTAAGCGCAAATCCCTCGTCAACTTCACGAAAGCCCTGTTAAATGAAGGAATAAAGGGAGAAAATTCGTATTTTATGACCGCATCCTACTTAATGATCCTCATAAACAACTTCAGATCACTCGTCTTGTTACAACAACCATTATAATTGTTTTTCTGAGTGACATTTACATTTAATATTACCATGAATAACAGATTTGAATTTTATATATACATATATAATAATATAAAATATATAAGGCCATTTTTTGCTAAAGTTAATCGTTTCCAAATTAAATTGGTGGACTATATAAGCTGATACACCCTGTATGGTCATATACAAACGCCAAGTTAATTTTGGCTAGGAATCGCGTGGTGGGAACAGAGTTAACATAACTTTCTCATCTAGCTCAGAAATGTCACAAACTTTGTTATTTTAAATGAAAATCTCATGTTTTTATTGTATTCTAGAGCTCTTTGATGCCACTTTTACTGAAAGGAAAAGTTTTGGTAGGATCGACCATTTCTGAGTTATGCCCGACGGAAGTGCGTGAGGGGTACGCTTTTTATGACAAGATGGCCTTCTCCGTTTATTTCGAAAACAATTAGCATTACCAAGTTAATTTAGGATAGGAACCATCTCAGAATAGGGTACGAATCATGGGCTTGCTTAGCTTCTATTAATTTTTGAGGAGAAAACTCTTTTTGCAAAAAAAAAATTATCATCATCGAGTCTATTTTAGTTTTAAAATGGCTCTCGGTAGGAAGTAGACTCTAGATTAACCAAGGTGGTCGGACCAGACCTATCTCGGATAATTGAAAATCTCGGACAATCCGACTTTTAAAAAGAAAATGAAATGAAAATTAATTAAAAACGCATTTTGCACCAAAAAATTTAAGTTTAAATATATCGTTAAAAAAGAAATAAGAGAAAACCACACAAAACACATTATAATTTCATTTACATTATAATAATCAACGATGTCTGTTTCGCTTTCTTCACTCCCATTGCAGCCACAAAGTCCCGCTATTTTTTAATTGCCATGACATCTGTAAGCGTAACAGTCGGTTGTTGTTCGACGAACTGCAGGGCTGTTTCTAAAGCCTCAAATCCTTTTTCAAATGATATTTTGTTAGAAACTTCTTCTTCAGAGCCATCTGAGTCGTCGTCTTTTTTAAGAACTTTCTCGACGATTTCGTGTCATTTAACATGTGTTCTTCATCATCTTTTCAAATCCATTCTTCGACGTCTTCACGGGAAACATTTTCGAACTCAGGGATTTGACCGTACGACTGAATGAAGTTCGTCTTGATCTTGATTTTCTTCGTTTTGGCTTTTTCCGAGAAGTTTATTCCAAGATTTTCTTAGTGTGGCAGATTGAACCGACTCCCAAGCTTCCGCGGCCCGGTAGATGGTTTTAATGTTAATTTTTTTAAGACAACTGTTTTCGATAACGGCGTTTAAATGACTCAATGACCCTGATCCATTGGTTGGATTAAACTCGTCATATTAGCTGGTAAAAATTTCACATCCAAATCATTTCTTTTCAATGTTTCTGGATCTGGATGGGATGGAGCATTATCCATAAGAAGGAGTGCTTTTTTTGGTAAATGGTTTGAATGTAGAAACGCACTTACTTTTGGTATAAATTGTTCATTGAACCATTTTAGAAAAAGTTCCGAATCCATCCAGGCACTTTTTTGATGTTTGTAAAAAACTGGCCGGACAGTGGGATTGATATTTTTTAATGCTCGTGGTTCTGCCGATTTTTCTATCACCATCGAAGGTAGATGGTGATACCAGAAGTGTTGGCATAAACCATAACAGTTATTCTCTCTTTGTTTTGTTTTTTACCAGATACATTACCCTCTCGTTTGCTGGCCAACGGTTTTGACAGTAACATTTTAAAATTTAGAACTGTTTTATCGCAGTTATAGATCCAGTCCAAACAATAATCTTCTTCTGCGATGAAAGTATTTATTTCTTCACTGAAATTTTCAGCAGCTTGTTGATCAGCAGAGAATCGCTTCCGTCGGGCATATCTCAGAAATGGTCAATCCTAGCAAAATTTTCCTTTCAATAAAAGTGGCATAAAATAATCTCTAGAATCGAATTGAACGAATAAAATATGTGATTCTCATTTAAAATAACAAAGTTAGTGTCATTTCTGAGCTATATGAGAAAGTTATGTTAAATATGTTATACCGCGATTCCTAGCCAAAATTAACTTGACGTTTGTATAAGACCATTTTTTGCTCAAGTTAATCGTTTTCGAATTAAATGGGTGGGCTATAGAAGTTGATAAACCCTTACTTACTTCGAAAGAAAATTTTCTCGTTTAACAATAAAACAATAAATTCCTTATATCGTTGTGTGACATAATCGAAGTTTTCAAATTATTGCCATTTTCAAAAATAATTCATGCAAAAGGCAGTCACTGGCTAATTATATTTAACTATATATATGTAGGATCGACGCTTCCAACCATTTATTTAGCCCCTGCAGGATACGTCAAAAGAGGAACAGCTGACAGAAGGAGGTTACTTCTAAGTGTTGAATGCCTAGTGTGTCGTGTTGGCTTAATACCGAGAGGTCCTTTTTTTAATTTTTTTTTTTTTTTAAATAATAAAACGTGTTTTTGGGTTGCAAGTGGTTTCGAATACTCTACACTCCTCCCTCATCCTACGTATATAAACTTGCCTTTTTGTAGCATAGCACCACATGTAATATGACTGTAAGATAACGCTAGAATTATGTGAGAAACAATCATCAGGTTGGTGATGCTACAGGTTTTGAATGAACTGATGATTGGTAATGGGTGGCTTTCGTTCGTTGATTTGATGGTGGACTCAGGTCTGTAAGCATGTTATTACCCTTAACACTTACACAAATGTTGCCTAAGTCAAATGCAAACGTATTGTTCCTGACGACCAGTTAGGCTTCCGTCATTCAAAAAATATATCATCCCAAGGTCTCTACAGCCTAAGCAATTCTGCCTTGGAATCTAGACGTCTCCCAAATGTTCGATCGCGACTAACACCAGAATCTATACTGCTGAAAATAAAACCCTTCCTTTTTAGTACATACTATCTCATCCTAAAATCCTACCTATCCGATCGTTTCTTTGTGTTACCTACCAAACCTCAACCTCTCCGATTACTTCTCTTCTCTGCAGTGTTGCTCAAGGGAGCATCCTACGTTCCGTTACGTTTTAGCGCATTAGTACTCTTTCTCGCTCATCCTTACCCTTGCTGACAACGCAGCAATCTTCTCAGGAAAACTTGAACCTGTCCTAGTTTATTCTACTAAGACGACCTCCTTAGAACCATTGATTCCTTAAATGTACAATAAAACTTGCATCCCTTCACTCAGTCCTCCGAATTCCTTATGTTACTGACCTAGCCAAATCCAGATACTCCAAATTCCATTACAAATCATTTATTTACTCCAACTCCCTCATCCGTGACCTTTCCACTCTTACGCTCCTTATCAACCCCCGAGGATGTTGAGACGTCGATAGCCTCGCGACCAACTGCGCACATAAGCCATCCATCGGGTTCATGTCATGAGGTAGAAGAACCTGCCTAATGTGAGATATAATGGGTTGCTCCAATTCACGTTTAAACTCCTCTTACTAGCCCTAAATCTAACCTAATCCTAATCCTGAAGCTTACCTAATCAAACGTAAATCAACCTACCCAACTAATGTGCACCCTCAGATAAGGCAAAATCGATTATTCAAAAATGGTCACGCAAAAAATTATGTATCTATATTCTAACCCAAATACATCACTGAGTTTATTGTTTCAAATTATATATTGAAGTCACGGTAGCTCAAGTGGTTAGAACAGCGGCGTATTCAGCCTTAGGTCGTGGGTTCGAATCCCGCTAGTAACGTTTTTTCATCTCAACCAAGGCCTTAGATAAAAAAGAATAATTAACTGAAATTATAAATAACAATGAATGAACGAAAATATCGCAATTGTAAATTAAAAAAGCAGTAAATGTATGTATGCATATCTATCTTCTAAAAAATGCCATCAAAAATAAATTAATAATATAATAAATGGAAAATAAAAAAGCCTATTCAATAAACATATGATCAATAATGAAAATATGTTAATGCAAAAAAGACATATGTTTTAAATAAAATACTTTAATTGTAAAACTTGTAAATTGAATAAAAGTGTTGAAGAAAAGTGCTTTTTTTTAATAGTTTTGCTTTCGCCTTTAAGAAATATGTTTTTTTTATTGGCCCTTATATGCTTGGATCTATACAATAGTGCTGAATCTATAAACTTCTACCTGGATCCTAACGTTCAGAAGTGCCTGCGGGAAGAGGTGTCCAAAGACGTTCTCGTGATCGGCGAGTACAACGTGACCAATTTGGACGAGGCCGATTCTAGAATGCTGCCAACGAAGCTACTTGTCACCGACGAGAAGCGGCACATCCTGGCGAAAGTGGACGACGCCAGAAAAGGTAGATTTTCGTTCATCCTAGAAGAAACCGGACTTATCGAGATATGCTTTCATTCCGAATCCGGATACAGGCCCAAGGAGGGTGGGGTCGTCTGGCTCTCTATCAGGAAAGGCGTCGAGACTAAAAACTACGAGGAACTCGCGGAAGTAGCCAAGCTGAAGCCGATGGAGGGACGCATGGCCAGGCTGGAGGACTTCGTCGAAGCGATTGTCGACGACTTTGTCGAAATGAAAGAGAGGGAAGTGGCTATGAGCAACACCAACGAATCGACCAAGTCGCGAGTCTTCTACCTCAGCATCTTCAACTTTTCCTGGCTCTTCGCGCTAGCAGCTGGTCAGATTATTTATCTCAGACAATTTTTTAAAAGCAAAAAACTTATTGAATGATTGCTTTCTTTTGTTATTAACTCTATTTTTTATATTTGTTAAATATAATGTTTTTATAGTCATCAGAAGCAATAAAATAAATAAACTGTTTCGCTCACACGACTAGTACAAGCTTATAAGATTTTAGACATTAATGAATTATTTTAATAATACGGTACTTCCTGCCTAAAATATGGCCAGATAAATAAGGCATTATACTGTTTTTCAATCAAATAAAAATTAAAATAGTTAGTAACCCATAAGAAAGTTACTTATTTTAATATATTAAGCGCAGTTGTCTCAAAACATTTAATGTAAAGATGACAATAGAATGACAGACGAAATATCTCTATTGTGTATGCGAGTGTGCGTTGTGTTTCAAAAACAAAAGCGTATTGACTTTGTGTTCACTGTCGTCTAAAAATGTTAAGATTGCTCGTCTTACCCATCCCTGTTTACAGACTGGACATTTATTTATTTATTTTAGTTAATTAATTACAATAACTAGTAATACAAAACAATATAAATATAATCATATCAACTCGTAATTATAAATAGAACATAGAAAACGATATATTAGAAATATTAACTTATTTTTTAGAATATTAAATACCGGGCCCTTCAGAATCCTAATACTACGGACATTATGAATATCAAGGGAATTGTTACTGATAACAAATATGAGAAAGAAGTCCTCATTCCAGAAGTTCTTCCATGGAAGGGCAACTCAAGACTTTTTTTTGTTCGTGTGTCCAATTAAACCTAGTAATTCCGGAAAATCAATATTATTATGGAAGTTTCCAAATAAAGATAACTGCGAACTGTTTCCAAGTTTCAACCTGGATTCAGGGGAGGTAACAGAGAGAAACGGTGGATCCAGTAGTCAAATGTATAGTAATAAAAATGTCCATCACCTCTGATATGAACCATATGCTTAATGAAATTTTTTTAGAATTTTCTTAAAGTTATCAAAAATATAAGCATGGTGAGGGTATCAGACTAGACATCCAACCCCAACCATCTTAAAACATTTGGAAAATACCGTACGAATATGTACAGAAAAGGATAAAATTATGACTATCAAAAGAACACCAAGATTATAGATGAGAGTAGTGCAAGATCTTGCATCAGATAAGATACAGATAAAGATCACATTAGATATCTTGTAACAAAATTTTATAATTTTTTTGAACGAGTGAAACTAATTATATTAAATTTTTCAATATTAATACTAAGGCCACTTGTTGAGCACCATTTACAAAATATACACGTCATTCTGCCCTTTGTCACAGTCATCAATAGAGGTAATGACTTTCAATATTTCAACATCATCGCAGCCGAAAAATTATATTTTTGTTCAATATTCTAGTTACCAAACAGTTACAAATCTTACCTGAATAAGCAGGTATGGTCGATCGCAAAAACTAATTGATATATATAAAAGAAAAATGACAATAGTTTAAAGTAGACTCACCAAGTTGAGTGGCTGCGTCGTCTCCCGCTTTGATCGACCCATGCGACAGGCACCGGGCACAAGGAGCTGTGGCTAGCTAAAATGCACCCTACGCTTTGGCCAAAGAAAAGATGTAAATTTAACTAGACCTTGCATACCTTGACGGCTCCGTCCGAACCCTGTGTGATATGAGTTGAACTGTGATCTTGGATATCTTTCTCGCAAATATTGTATGCGAAGCCAAAACGACAAGGCGTATGGAAAAATGGTACTATCACTGTTTAGAACAAAAGGAACGAAAAACGGAGTGGGGCTGAGGGGGCACATAAGATTTTAAGGGCGAAAACGTCACTAAAAAAACGCCGCGAACATACCGCCCACCAAATTAGACATAATTTCTGCTATAGAAATGCGTGGTGTTTAGTGACCGTTAGTTATCAGGCCTATCACATAAATTAAACACATTTCTCTCTTCTGACAACTTTAAAATAGCTTTCAAAAACTATAAAACAATTCACACTTTTCCAAAATTAAAGATCCCACACCAGTAACAAATAGGACTTTTAAATTACTGGAAGCGTGGAGCAGCGGCACAAGTCGAGTATAAACGCCGGAAGCTGTCTGAACAATCGCCGCAGGAGGAACGTTGTCCGGCCCAGGATGCAAAGCATCTATGATGGCAAGAGGCCATGACACGGGCTGAGATTGCACGCCCCGGATAACCACTACGTCTTCCACCTTTGGCAATGTACTATTTAGTGGAATTGGCCCATTGCACTTCTGCAATGTATTTAGGCATTCCTTGGATCACCGTCGTCAAAAGGTCTGGAACATCCGTGTTTGGTTATCACAACGATTCCTAACATTCCGAATGTCCATAATGTGTGTTGTAGAACACTTATGGAAAATAAAATTAAGGGAAAAGATATTAAAAAATTTTCTGACAGTCAGGCTAGTCTTAGGTCATTACAAAAAGATTTGTCAACCTCACGACTGGTGGAGGAAACTATAGGTCTTATCAATAGGATCTGTTCCAGGTTTGAGAACGAGGTAACCCTTATTTGGATACCAGCACATACAGGACACCATTGCAATGAAAAGACGGATGGCCTAGCCAAAGAAGATTCTAATACTGCGTTTGTCGGGCCACAACCGGTATTATCTCACTTTATGAGCACAGCGAAAGAGAGTATTAATAACTGGGGCATGAAACGATTCCTTAGGAAGTGGAATTTATCCCCCAGACACAGGCAATCGAAAGAGTTTGTTAAGGCGATCAAACCAGCAGAATCGAAATGGCTATTCTCAATCGCAAGGAAGAGAATTAAGAGGCTGATAGGTATTCTGACGGGCCACTGTCCACTGAGAAGACACCTTTTCGTAATGGGTATTCTACCAGATCCCTTTTGCCGTTATTGCGAAATAAAAGAAGAAACGGCAAGGCACTACCTCGCAGAGTGTGATAGAGATGCTAGGTCTAATTTGAAATTTTTGAAGGAGAGGACATCACCAAATCACTCCCCGAGATTAAATGGTCCAAAATCTTGGGGTTTGTGAACAGGTCCAAGATTTTAGCTTTGTGGGACCATCAAAATGGGAACAAAAAGGTCTGCTATTAAGCGCGGCTTCAATTTGGGCGATCAGCGTACAATAATCCTCAAATGTAGCAGGGGTATTGCTTATGGGCGAACACGGCCTTTTGCGGATTTAACAGTGGCTTCCCATAACCCGCCAAAATGAAGAATATAAGGAGAGGAAAGTTGCCAAGTTATTTCTCGTTTAAATAAGTGGTCACAAACGACATCGTTTCTATGATAAAATTTTTGATTTGGAAGATCTTTTTAACTGATTTGGAAGCGCCCACGAAATTGCTTCCATTGCCTGACATACGCTCGGGAGACCACGCTCTAAGAAAAGCCAACTGCCTCTGCGATATCCACTTGCCTGTCACCTCGATGACTCATTTTCACAATAACATTGCGAACGTCTGGTTCAAGATGATTTACATATACAACAATACAACTGGAGAAAAGACAAGAAAAGGTGTTTGTCTACAAATTGAGGAATCTTCATGTTTACTATTCTTAAGTAAATCTGTTATAAAAATGAGGATTAATGTTAATTTCTTGTTAGTTTGAATTTTCTATTTTGTTTTATCCAACTAACAAGAATATATAGATTAATTTTGTTAATAGAATAATAATAAATTACAAATATTCCTATTCACTTTGGAGCAGTTTATAAATACATTTAGTTTTGTAAAGATATTGTTTTTTGTGGGACGAAGCCTCTTCAGCTGCACTCTGGCCTTGACGATTGACGAATCAGATTTTGACATTGTTGCTTAGCAGAGAAGGTAAGAAGGGCATTAATGGTTGCACTAAAACTATGCACTTTATTTAAACAAAGAGTTTTCTTTCAAATAAAACTAATTGAAATGCCTAAAAGAAAAATGGCAATAGTTTAAAAATAGGCCCACCTAGTTGAGTGACTGCGCCGTTGACCGCCGTGAACGTCCCAAGCGACCGGCACCGGGCATGAGGAGCTGGGTCTGGCTAAAATGCACCCTACGCTTTGGCCAAAGAAAGAATGTAAATTTAACCAGGCCTGGCCTACCTTGAGGGCTCCGTCCGAACCCTGCGTGATATGAGTCGAACTTGACACGGCACTCGCGTTACCTTTCTCGCAAATATTGTCTGTGAAGCAAAAACGAACAATGCTTCAAACACGGAAGCAAGAAAGGTACTAAAAACTTACAAAAACCAATGGAACGAATAACGGAGTGGGGCTGAGGAGGGAGCAAATAAGATTGCAAAACGTCATTAAAAATAAAAAACATCGCGCGTAAACGGAGGTAACATTACCCCGGAAAAAAAGGTTTCAACAAGAAATTATTTAATTCATTTAGCGAATGATTTCACTTATTGAAAGTACAATAAATCCATTGAGTTTTACCTTTTAAATAAATTTAAAGATCATTGAACAATTATGGAATGGACAAATTTTCCAGCGAGCGCGCTTTTTCTGGAGATGGCGCCGATTCAAATGTGAGATTTCCAGCGCTCAAAGAAGGTGCGTCCGTGAAAACCTGACAATAAACTCCCTGAAATATTTTGATAAAGGCGATAAGGCCGAAAGACAGAATATATCCAGTTTTGTTTTATTTTCCTTTGTAAATTGTAATTGACCACCAGCCCGATTTTCTGAAATTGTCGATATGCTCAGATTGAGCGACCTTAACAAAAAGCATCTGAGCTATTTGATCGGACAGGATGAGACCGGTAAGCTCGTAAAATCAATAGCAACGTAATCGTTAATCGCTAATCCAAATAACTTTTAAAATTTTTAGTCGTGAAGGATTTTTGCCGCCTAGCCTGGGACTACTTAGCTAAAGGAGTCAATGCAAAGTTATACGCAACAGCTGCACGTAAGCGAATGGTTTTTAATTGAATCAAATTTCATTTTCTTATGATTATGAATATAAACGTTACAAATGAATCATATAACAACTTACACTTGAATATCTACAATAACTGTTACTCTTGAAGAAGTATTAATGATGCTGTAGTCTCTTATGGCAAGGAAAGGTACAAGTCCGGCTGGAATGAGTCATGGGAATCATCTTTCATTTCCTTACGATTAAGAATATAAAACCTCTTACACTTGTATAAATCTTTCTACAATAACGGTTACTTTTGAAGAAGTATTAAGGATGCTTGTGTCACTTGTAGTAAATAATGGTACAGGACCGATGGGATACATAATAAATTATTAAAAAATTGCAAACTTGCTATTGTGACCATTTTAGTTTCTATTTTTAATAAATCCCTATGTACAGGAATTTTTCCCTATGTACAACCGAGTGACAAAATGATAGACACACCCCTAATTGTTATGATTTTTTAATGTAATGGGTTTGTACTACAAATATTTATTCAAAACACATGAAATAAATATTTTTCTTCATTAAACTTTAATTTTTCAATAAATAAGAGAAAAAATTATTAAAATACTAAAATTAAACGAGTTTGTCTGCGACAAAATTATAGACGCATGGGATAAAATCAATTTAAAACAAGGTTATAATATTTTGTGGCATTACCACTCAGTTTTATTATTTCCAGTAATCTTTCTGGAACGGTTTTGTACAAATTTTGAATAAAATCTTGAGGCAGATAATTCCAGGCAGTGGTGACAGCTGTTTTAAGTTCATCGACAGAGTTGTACTGCTTACAGTTTTGATATACCATCCTCGATAATTTTCCCCATACATTTTCTATAATGTTCAAGTCTGGTGAGAGTGCAGGCCATTCAAGTTTTTCAATGCTGTTCTGTGAAAACCATTCTTTAACAATTTTTGCATTGTGTATGAGTGCGTTGTCCTGCTGGAATATTGGAGTCCCTTCGCATAAATTGCTGAAACTAGTTTTTTCTTTGTCCACTAATTTCTTGTAATATTCCGAATTGACTTTTTTTGGAAGAAGACAAAGATTCCCTTTTTTATTACCCAATACACCCCCAAATCATCAAAGATCCACCATCCATTTGGCGCCGTGACAAAATTTTTTCTTCTTTAGTTAGATCATGAAAGTAGTATGCGTATCCATCTGGGCCATCCAAATTGAATTTTTTTTGTCAGAAAAAATAACTTTTCGCCAATAATTTTCATTTTTCAAAATGTGGTTTTCAGCAAATTTGACACGGGCTAGTTTTGTGGTGGGGTTTCAGAGCTGGTTTGCGTTTCAGTTTTCTTCGGACTATGTTTTCAGTTTTTTTAAGGAACCTCTGAACTGTTCGAACAGAAACATCAACACCTGCCTTCTCTGCGATGGCTTTTGCAGTTGAAAAGCTATTTGACGCAACGCACAGGATGTGCGATTTGTCTCTTCTGGTCAAGGAAGGAGGTCTTCCTCTTCCATAGTCTTCACCTAGTATTATCTTTGATACCGATGAAAAACTCCGTTTTATGCGTCGTTTTTTAATGTGTCTATAATTTTGTCACTCGGTTGTTTTTAAAAGTAATTATATAGTTCAGGTTTTTAAAAGTGGTAATAAAAGTAATATTTGTAATTATAGACCATTTTGTATACAACCTGCTGTAAATAAAACAACCCTCACCAAGACTGGCAAACTCACTGCTGCCGTTGGAGAAGGCCAGACTCAGAGGAGTGATAGGACTATTAACCGACCACTCGCTAGCATCTGAGAAAACATACATAACACGAGTAGATATAGTGAAGATCCTATCTGCAGATTATGTAATGAGGTGGAAGAAACAACCATCCATATCATCTCCGAATGTGAAATAATCACAGAATAGAGACATAACCTGGGAGACAAAAAGAAAACATAGTAAATGGAATTGCAGCAACAACAGTCAATGACATTGTACTTCTTAGAAGTATCTTGTTAATTGCACCAAACCAGGGCACTAGGAAGGTACAATAAGCCAGAAAGCTGCAGGGCCTGGGGTGCACAAACCCCACTTCCTAGTATCCTCATCATCATCATCTTACAACTTGCAAAGTTTCCAAGTTTTTGAAAGTATCATATTAAATTCAGACTAGAATAAAAATTGTTTATTGTATTATAGTAAATATTACATATCCAAGGGGGGATGTCAGGCACTTATAATTACAATTTAAAACATAATTTGAAATACTAGATCTTAACATTTTGAAAAACAATACATAAATAAGTAACTACAAACAAAATAAATTGGATTTAAACAGATAAATAAAATGATCACCTTAAACAGATATGTAATTATTACTTTTAAATACTATACTAAGTACACATATCTCAGTTTAGTTACTACAGCAAGAGTATTAGTATGCTCATTCAGGTAACGCAAAAGCTCTCAACCTTAAAATCCCAGGAAAAATAGAAATAAATCATTTGCTTTTTGCTGGTTTTCATCAAAACAATATATCTTCTATACTTTTATAATTGAACTGTGTGTATTTTTATTAACTGTGTTTTAACTGGGCTTTTTTTTTTTAATTTTATTTACATTTTTTTTCTTTTTTTTAAATTAAAACATTATTCTCTCTGCCAACCATTGCCCCAAATTATAACCTTATGTAGAGACCAATGTAGACTTTGTTTTAGTTTTCATGTTGAAACTCCATTTTAAATATGTGCTAAGAATGATTGGACTTCCAGCCTGCAGACTTACTAGAGTTCGTGCGATTGAAGTGGTTAAAAACAAGTTTTTGGCTTCAGAGTTGGTTGAATCTTTTTGAAAAATACTGTTGTGATTTCAGTTCTTCATCAGATAATGTATCTCTCCGGAAAAACCAACTATTAAATTTAAATTCTGTAAATACAAGTTACAAGTTAAATACTGTAATTATAAGTTGATTTTTCAAAAGCTTTTGATAATGTTGATCATAAGATTCACTACAGAAATTACAAACATTAGGCAGACATTGGCTTGTAACCTATTTAGGAGGTCGAATGGTTAAAGTAAAATTAAAATCAGTATTGTCGCAGTTTTCTAGCAACTTCTGGAGTTGCTCAAGGGTCACACTTAGGGCCTTTTCTTTTCAAAATCTCTGATTTTTTTTCCATTTATTTGACCCTGCTTTTTGCAGACGATTTAAAATTTTTTGTAAAAATTAATTATTTTTTGCTGCTTGCAACTTCAACATTAAAACTTAATAGTGAGTTACAATTAATTAAGGTTTTTAGTTGAAATAAAAAAGACAATGGCACGAGCGGGATTCGAACCCACGATCTTTGGCTAGATACGCCGCTGCTCTACCACTTGAGCTTTTTATCTCAACTAAAAACCTTAATTAATTGTAATATATTAATTGGTCAAGCGGACCACGAAATTAGTGAATTTAATAGTGGGTGTTCAACTAATACTATTCTTTTAAATTCTGACAAATTTTCAGTTATAAAATTCCATAAAATAAAATATCCTATCAAATCTAATTACATTATATCAGACTCGCTCATATTTGTCATGAGTCACTAGATCTTGGTATCACTATTGACAGACAGACAAATTTTCACACACTTATTAATAAAACTATTGCTGAAGCAAATAAAACTTTAGGATTTATTACACATCTAAACATTTCCATGATCCAGTTGCTCTTAAAATTTCACACACTTCTCCTGTAAGACCAATATTAGATTACTGATCACCTCTTTGTGCTCCCTTTCAATCCACTCATATCAGTTGCACAGAAACAATCCGATACATTACAAAACGACTGGAGTATACAGAGATACATCATACTCATCACTATTATTGGATTGGAAAATAACGACTGACAATTCTGTACAGAAGGAAATTGCATATTATTATATGATTCCTTAACTGATTGCCCATTTCTGCTTAACTGAATTAACTTTCATGTTCCATCTTATCATTCCAGAAATCATATAACATTCTCTATTGATGCCATATAACTAATTATGCCAAATTCAGTTTTATACCAAGAAGAATATACACAAACAAACACATATACAAACATACAACATATAAAATGCAAAAAAAAACATATGTTAAACTCGTTCAAAATATAGATATAGAATTTCTATTCTATACAGAAAAATATAGATATATTAATAATTGGTTAAGGAAATTTAAGCAAATTTTATCATTAGAAAATTATTGTATCATGTTTCAATTTGTTTTTTATTATTTGACCTAATCCTAACCCTTGCCTCACCTAATTCAACACATCTACAACACCCATGCATACATCCTGGTAAAGCAAATAACATGAAAATGATCATGCAATTTTGTATCCAGCCCAAAAACATTCCATGACACTTAAAAATTGGAATTTGTCTTAGAATTAATTGAACGATGTATATCACTTTCACAGAAAAACTGGAAATCAGCCCGCAAGACCTTCAACATGTAGTAGAGGCTCTGGTCAATCTACTGTCAGAATCCTGCAAACTCAAGGTTTGATGTGATAAGTTTTATTTGTCACTATTATTTATATAATTCACTATAATCTTGCACTTCACTGAAGATATACGGTCTTGCAACAATGTTGGTATATTTTATAATAAAAATTGATATCACTAAATGCAATTGTGATATTAACACTGGTTTGGGCATTTTTATACAAAACTCTGTTATTTTTGCGTGTTCATTTTATGGATGTTAATGTGTTGTATTTAATAAATACGCTTTTCAATTTCTACAATTGTATTTTGTTCTGTTTTGAAAGCTTTCTATTCCAAAGCTGAAATCAAATCTCTTGGAGCTGGGATTCAACAGCAAGCAGGTTGACATCATCTGCACTTATTACACAACTAAGAGGGCCGATATCAACAATGTCCTGCTCGCAGCATCCGTACAACTCCCTATGTACAAAGATCTCGAATGGAGGACACAAGTCCAGGTGGAATTAAATTAAAAACTGAAACTTTTAAGGCGATTTCATTTTCTTTCTTTTGCCTTCAGCTCGCCTCAAGAGCATTACCGGAACAGCTCGAGCCAAGTATCCTCATGAAACTAAAACTCGACAATGCGAAAGAAGACTCATTGATACTCCAGACCGATCCTGGAAACCTTGTACATATCACTAAAGTTCTGCAGGATGCTTTGAACCAAGCATCAGACAATCACACATCTAGAGTCCAAAGAAGATATAAAACATAAATTGTCATTATTTTTTATAATTAAATATTTTATTAATACCTTTTGTTAATTTTTATTCAATAAAATGTCATATATTTTTCTCGATTTAATTTTTAAATTATACACTTTATCAAATTCGCAAACATAACTGTAAAATCTTATTTCTAAAGGGTTTTTTCTTGAATAGTCATAAAATCCAGATTTAAAATTAATTTTTTGTTAGACAAAAATAATTTTGAGAAGAAAATTTTCAATAACTTACTTATTCTGTCTGGTTAATCAACCCTTCTAAGTCAATGTCTTTATTAAAAAATAAAAATTTGCCATTCTTAAAAATAGAATGGCACTCTGATTAGGCAGGAATTTGCGGATGCCCAACCGTAAACAGGGGCCCTTCCGAATCTCTTTCTAACGGGCACATCCTGCCAGTCAGATAAGATAGAAATATGGACGTGTGCCTCGATCGTTGAACTCCATCAATCTTCTTCTAACGCCTCAAGCATGCACGTCCTCTTTGCCCTGGCCGCAGTCGTTGCGAGTGTTAACTGTCATAAATATTTTGAAACAGAACAATTCAAGCCCTGCCCTAGGGTGAATCCAGTACAAGACTTAAATATAAAAGAGGTTTGTATTTACTTTTAAAAAATATAGTTTTATATTTTGTTTCATACAAAAATGTATAATATTTAATGATCTTTAGTTTTGACTGATTGATTTATTTCTCTGGAAATGCTTGCTTGCCACCTTATCAATCACCATCCTGTTTTGTGACTTGCCTATGTTAATTTTAAGCTATGTATGTTTAGTGGTCTAATTGACCAAATTACTTATTTCAATTAATTATTCTTTACTATATCAGATAGTATTTAAATCAGATAAATAAATTTAAAAACAAAATGTATGTTTTATTTCACTTAGCTTCAAGGCTCATGGCATGTCAGCTTGATTATACTCGACGCTGCGACTGAGAACCTCGAAGAGAGCACCGTTTGCATCACGGGGGACATCATCGCCTTTAATACCACTCACATGAAGCAGACATGGAACATGTACACGCCTAGGATGCCAAACGAACCGATCGGTAACATCGAGTTCAATGTGGATGTCATTAAGCCAGGCCTGTGGGCTGTTGAGACACCTTTAGGAGGTACATCGTGCCAAAAATGAAATTTTAAGTTTTAAGCTAAGCGTTTGATTTTCAGGTGAACTAGCTGCAACGATTTTCAGCTATGACAACGACTTGATCCTCGTGACGCACTGTGGGTGGCAGAATGGCCATCTCGTCCACCTTTGGACAGCCGGTGCTTCAAGAAAGAACAACAGCCTCAACCTTACAATGAGAATCAAAATTTCATCCATACTACTTGCAAACGGCTTCGACCCTTCTACCACAAAAATCATAACATGGAATAACTCTTGTTAACAAGTCTGTAATAAATAAAAATTGAACTTTTAAAACACTTGTTTGCTTGTACATTTTTGTTTTTACCAAATCAGTTTGTATAAAACACATAAAAAAACTTAAAAAGCATGATTAATAAATAAAAAACAATCACTACACAAATATACACAATTTATTGTCTATTGAATTTATTATACATTTAAAACCCTGAGGTGTTTTTTTACAGTTTTCTTTGTCTTTTTTTTAAATGTTTTTCATAAGTCCAAAAATTAACTCAGTATGAGCAAAACTACACGTTGAACATTAACAAGGTGGAAAAATGCCCACAAAAATTGTTGAAACGTTCTTGAAAATTCTTTCCACAAAGCTGGGGGGAAACCACTAAAATTTGTTACTGTGGCGGTTTCTTCTGCTAACCACGCCGCCGCTGAAACACAGAGATTGAACGATTAATGTATAAACGCAAACGAAAAAGTGTGTGTGAAGCCTAGTAAAGAGAAACAAATCTAAGCTTTAAAAAAAGTATATATTGTTCAATTTTTTAGTGTTTCAATAAATTTATTTATTATGGAAAAGTCAAACATATAACAGACTTAAAATCTTTCCGATTATCTTGGCCTATCCTCGCTGGGTAGGCTGTCAAGCAAGTATCAGCATTTTGCCATCTTCGGTGAGACCAACCCAGAGAGTACGGGCAGACCAAGATGATACGAAGAATCAAATTCCATAAAAATAATTGATAATTGAATTATAATTAGGTCACTAAGTGAAAAGCAAGCAAATTCCACTGATCATTATTCCATATAATGTTTTTTCCTAGTTTAAAAAAGTTTTTTAAACATCTTATGACAAAAGAAAAGAATACAAATTTTTTCAATCATAATTTCTTTATTATTTAAACAATTATGTCCACACCAATCTTTGAAAATTCAAATAAACAGATTGTTTACATAGATAATATCAAATATTTTATTTAATATCTGGTCAATGAGATTATATGAGGGTACAGGGCTTTCAAAAATAGTTTCTATTAAAACAGTGTTAACACAATTCAGATTTTTAAAAAAAATTATGTATACGTTTATACATTTCGATTGTAAATGATTGTGATTTTTTTATGCTTTAAACATTTTCATTTTTGACTCTTAATTAGTCCAATCAGAAATCTTAGAATTAACTTAAGACTAATACATTTAAACATCTACAAATCAATTGCACTTAAATACAAGTTATATCACATTTTATTTCTAAATCAATAAATCTTGAAAACGAGACTAGATTGTTTTCTTAAATAAATAACAAAAAAAATTGTATAAATAAAAAAACAAAAATAACTTAATAAATAATGACTAGAGAGACGAAAAAGTAAAAGTTAGCTAATAAATTATTTATTGACCATGTTTGTACAATCATTTAAACTTAAAGACTAGATGAAAAAATCACAACAATTTGTTTATCTTTGGTTTTTAGTTAAGTGAGAAATTTCTCGTTTTTTGTTGTTGTTTTTTTTAAGAAAAATTATACATTGCCACAATAACAAAAGCTCTTCATTGTACAAGGTAAGAGAATATGACTAGAAATTTTTGTTAAAAAAAAGGTCCATTTTCAAACAAACCCAAAATATGTTTTTTAGCGCTAAATCACAATGCTTCAACAAGAACAATAATTATAATTTGAGAGAGATTCATCAGATAAGACTATAATATCAATTCACTATTATATTTAACAATTTGGTAAAATGAAAGTGCACGTCAAAAGATAAGCTCTTTCAAATGAGACAATCTCCCGTCCCATTACTCGCCAACTATGAGTGCGACAAAAATAGAGATCTTCATAGAAAACAGGCGCCAGAAGGGAACGCTCTTAGTTTCTGTTAGATGCTAAAAGAGACTACTAGAAAAAAAAAGTACGGATCAGGTATTATGGATTTCAAAATCAAGCGGGGCTTAGGGAAGGGCTGCATCTAGACCAGGGGCTTCTTGAATCATCGCTCGAGTCGCTGCTCGAAGAAGAAGACGGTGTCGATCGGTGATAAGGAATCGGCAATTTTCTTGCGCTAAAATTTATAAAAATAATTTTTTTTTAACAAAACAAAAACATCACATACCTAAAATAAAATTAATTTAATACCAATTCTGTCAATTGTTATTTTAATAAATTAGTCCGAAAATAAAAATATAACGTTAATTTTTTTTATGGTTTTCTATTCCAATTATTAATATTGATTAGTGTTGTTTTGAGGATTAATGGTAAAAAGGAAAGGAAGGCAATCAAAAGCAAATAAATAGCAAGCAAAAATTCATGCATAATTTATATAAATATACAAAAAAAAAAAAATACTTACTAAAAAAATAATAAAAGGTTCTTCTCGTGTAAACTACACTTCTTCTGAATCTTGAATCACAAACTTTAACCACAATTAAAAACAAATTAAACAATTATAATAATTAAAGCATGCATACTCTATTACTATTGGCAGTGACATTCTGATAAAAAATAATACATTGTTTAAAAAATGCAACTTTAAATATTAATTGCTTCAATTTTAACTTATTTTGAACATTGGACATCCTGGTCTTAACAGGAAGAAGGAAGCTCATAAAAGTACCCACTGTTAAAGATGAAACCTTAACTTTAAGTACCTAGGTATAATAAAAAATTTGATCAAAGGCACAAATGGAATAAAGAAATACACAACATACTTCAGCATAAACGCAAGGCTAAGGCTACTAATCATTGGCCAGAGATTATGCAGCAAAAACAAGGGAGTAAACCCCAGGATGGTGTAATACACCACAACGTCTGACCTCTGGTCATGTGGGTGGCCAAAAAACACCACATAAAGGTGACAGAAAAACTACCAAATCTACAAAGACTAGTGTGGTGTTACATACTTTCCGACAGTCAGTCAATTAAAAAAAACAAGCACTAAGTACATTTTTAGCACCAAATTAGTCCAAGTTACCTATCTACCGTACGGTAGATTTTGGGACATGAAGGTAGGTACAAGCAGGCCAATTAGCCAAAGAAAAGGCAGCCCTATCGCTCATCGGCATACCTAGGCAGCTGGAAAAATAGCTTGAGAAAGAAAACCTCAAGCACTGGTCAAAAGCACCAGATATGAGACCAAGTGAGAACTTATAAATCTATCAAAAAGGAACTCGCAGCAGGAAAAAATTATAATCCTCTTCTTTCTTATTTACCACCCCAAGATAGGCAAAGTAGAGCCAGCAACATGCTGAATCTGTCAGGACAAAACAGAGACATCGGCATATATAATTTTAAAATGTGAAGCACTAACCCTGTTAGAGCCACTTTGGTAAGGCAATTCTCATACCAAGAGAGTTGCTCAAAGAAGCAAAAGCAGCTAGGAAAAGGCTTAGTTTTGTAGGAAAAAATGTACTTTCAACACTATGGTAATGATCATAGGAACCACAATAGAGGTAGGTCGCAATGAAAAAAGGTTGGGCTCTTTACTTGAGCACCCATGCCACCAAAAAAAGGGTGTGTTTATCTTCTAACAATAAATTAAAACCTATAAAAATGAAATTATTAAAACTCTAATAAGTAAGGCCTAACTGTATTTATTTAAATAATATATAATATTGAGAAGAATTTTTGAAAATTAAAATAAAAGCGTTGCTTGACTGACTCCAATGATCTCGTGACTTTGTCTTGTTCTTGGTCAGTCCTTTAGTGATTTGGTCTGTCTTTCTGGTTTTGTTCTTTTATCTGTCTGATTGAAAAAAAAATACATTGAAACATTTATCAAAAGATAAACTTCATGGCTGTAATAAAAACCAAAACTTACATTATAAGCTTTCAATCTACAAAGGGATATTTTTCCACTGTGCAGCTTAGGCAAGGCATATGCTAAAAATTGCTAAATTATAAATAAAATTGGAAAACGAGACAAGGAAGTGCGAAATAAAATTAATTAAAAAATAGTAATAAACAAAACAGTGCAACTGAAAATTTTATTTTAATTTAACATATACACTCTTTGGCAATAAAAAAAACTGATTTTTTTCTGTTTGTTCAAAATTTAAGATAAAACAAATATAATGATCAATACAAGCATGGCAAAAGTTGGGAAGAAAAGACTTTTTAAGTCTATAGTAAAAACTTAAAAAAGAAAAATGCATCACACAACTGGAAAATAAACATTACGTCAACTTTACTTCATGCAGATTGAAAATGGGCAGAAAAAGGTACATTTGGGAAAATTATGCTGTATTTTAAGAAAACAATTTTACTAATTATAATAATTGACAATCTCTCTCTAAACTTAAGAGATTTGATACACTTTGTAAAATATAAATTCAATAAAAACATATCGTTTAAAAAGTTCATTTTAAATATAGTCCGAACATTTTAAAAATTAACTTATTAAACAAAAATGTCTTTGGAAAAAAAACCGTTCTTTTAAAGTTTCCCTGGCGATCTCAAGGCCCAGGTCGGTCTGGGCCGTGACGGAATGGTGTGGTCCAATTTGCGTATCCAAGAGAATTACCTTGTGATGCGCCTGCGGTCGAGGAAACTGGGTGAGCCGTGCCTTCGGGGTATAGAAGGCGATCTTGAACGTGATACGGGTGAACGCCGGCTATAACTGCTACACCGGCTGCTTGTGCTTGACGCTATGCTCCTACTACGGCTTCTGTAAAAAACATATATATAGAAAAAAATACTACAACTATAAAGAATTTTTAGTTCGCTTTCTAATTTTTTTGTCTAAAAACTTTCTTGACTTATAAAACACTTGTGCGTAGTTCAAAAGATAAGTTTTAAAGCAATACTACAGCAAAACATACATAAAGCACTTCTTACATTTTCATATCCTGAATCAATATGAAAACATAAAAATAAATAATTTTTTATGTTTTCAGGCTAGTGGATTTGTAAAGAGAATTACTCCCATGGTATATGTCTGATATATAATTTGACTCTTACCAATCATCTTGGTCTACCTATCCTCGCTAGGTTGGTCCGTCCAATGCTGTGTAGTGGAAAAAATATGGGAGTGCAACACATGAGTTTATTGCGTAATTTTTATATAAGCATTATGTCCAAGGATTTTTGACAATTTAAAGCATTAAATTAAAACTAGATGCCGGCAGTTTTGTTATTTCTGATCATCCATCCATACTCAATTTTTGTTGGATTTTTATTAAATTTGGTTAAAACTGTGGCTGTGGGGACCTACTAAACCTTCCAATATCCAACGTTTCCAATCCTTTCAATACAGTCCTTAGATAAATTATTGTATTTTGTAATTAGATGTAAATGCTCTGTGCCCTCCAATACCACCCTTTACAACAATCTTGAAATCCTGTTTATTCAAAAACTAACGGAGTTCCATAGTAAACTGACCCATCACCTCAATCATCTAGCCCAGGCCCAGTCCAACAAATCATCTCCCTACAATCTCAAACAGAAATGGCCCCCATCCTTTCCGAGGAATAGCAATCAATAAATAAAAATGCAATGAGAAAAGGAAAGTAATATTTACATATAAACCCTTTTAAATACAATCATTTATTATTTATTAGGGTTTTTTCATGAATGTCTTTTCATATCTTTCTTTTTTCTTTAAACCGATTTCAGGGTCTTCCGCCTTCCCTCTTCTGTCTTATTTCTAGGTTGCTTTGCAGAAACAAATTTATTATTTACTTTTGTAAGCCGGTCCCCGTCTTAGTGATAAGTTTAAATTGTTACAATAAGAAGAAAATAGGGTAAACAATGAAAAGGGACAAAGGTTGTGCTCGGAAGGGGCGACCACCCAGACGGGAACGACGTGACAAATCTGGCAAATGTAGCTTGAAAATGGTTACCCAGGTAGACAGGTAAGAACGGTCGAAAATCTGTAGCCATGGGGGACATCGTAAATTGGGGATGCGTCAACCCTGTGCTAGACCACCGTCTTTGCCAGCCCACCCGCGGCGTGAGAACTCCCCCGACTTTTGAGTTTCCTTTCCACCCCTATTCCGGGAGAGACCCGGTATAAAAGGGATGACTGGAAAATCAAAAGGCAGTCAAGATACGAGACTCACCCCAGACAGTCAAGACCAGGGACTCTCTCAAGAGTCACCTCGGAAGACTTGCCTGAGTCAAAATCCAAGACTCACCCCAGACAGTCAAGACCAGAGACTCTCTCAAGTCACCTCGGAAGACTTGCCTGAGTCAAAATCCAAGACTCACCCCAGACAGTTAAGACCAGAGACTCTCTCAAGAGTCACCTCGGAAGACTTGCCTGAGTCAAAATCCAAGACTCACCCCAGACAGTCAAGACCAGGGACTCTTCACCTCGGAAGACTTGCCTGAGTCAAAATCCAAGACTCACCCCAGACAGTCAAGACCAAGGAGAGAAGCAGCCACCCTCCGTCTGGGATTCAACAAGAGGACTCAGCCAGCCAGAGCCTGCGAGGATCAGCCAAGTCAGAGGTCGAGAGAAGAGATGCTGTGTGATCACTGATCACTGGCGAGCATCGTTTGGGGTAAGTCCCTTTGTTGATAGACTCATCCCAGGTTTAGAGTTGTGGCTGACTTGTAGATTAATTAGATTCTGTGGTTTGGGTACAGTTAAGAGAAGGAATTGTGTACAATAAATGTTACTGAATATGCTCTCTGGTTTATTGAATTCTGGAACCTTACCTACACCTACACAAGAATAAGTAGCGACACGCTTACGCCGACAAATCTCTTGCCACTTATAGAAAAGCAAGCGAAAGGACCTGTATCGAGAGATAATTCGGTGCCGTGCCGTCGTCCGCTTACAACTACACTTTGATATTATTTCTTCATTTTTTGGTTAATTAGATATATTTATTTATGGTGTTTTTTTAATACTTACCTTAGAAATATGCTCTTTGTGTGAAAAGAGAAAAAATCAATCAGTCAGTGTCAGAACTGATATCTGTTTTACGATTACAAAATTTGTTTTGTTAAATTCTTTTTTCATTATTGAAGTTAAAGAAATTTTTGATTAGCAATTTGTTAACAATCTGTTCACTATGGCTCAACATGGGAGGGGCCTGCAGTGGCCCATATCAGTGAAGGCTGGAAATGGTGTTGGGGGAACATTGGCTTTGGCGGTCTCAATAAACACAGCAAAGGCCAATATGGGCAATGTGGGCAGCAGATAGGTGTGTGGTGTCAACACACTGGGCCAACATAGGTCAGCCATTTTGTTTCCAACCAGATTTCTGTTAATAACATGTAAATGGCACCCTGGCCAAACACATGATTCAGCAGCGATTTACCCGATATCCATCACAGCAACTATACGCCAGTTGGAAATTGGCCGTGTGGTGCCCAGCTTTATGACCAATGCATTGGCACATAGTGTAGAGGGATCATTATAGATAGCACACAGCAATACATACTAGGCTCATCCAAGGCTGAACACACAAAGGGCACAGCAAAAAAATTAGAAAAAGTCAGCGCCAAATCAATTATACAAGCTAATAAATGTCAAAAAAATTGTTAATAGGTTGTTGAGAGCAGTGCAATTTTTAAATTAAAAATACGCCAAGAATACAATATGAATAATTAACTTTCTAACCAATTTTATTGTTAGATTATTCATATGTGCCATGAAACAATCATTCCTTTTACATTACAGTACATTTTGCAATAAACATGCAATTGTTTTGCGACAATACACAAGTATGCAAAAAATTTGTATCATGCCTGTTTTATCAACAGTTGCCAGGTTTTATCATTGATATACAAGTTTGTAACTAGAAGTTCTATAATAATAAAACAGAGGGGGCAACGGTGGCCATAACGGTGTAGGTGTTGATACGCGCTCATCACTGTAAGGGAGAGGCCCCGGGTTCGAATCCAGTGGCCCTGCATTCTAACCCGACATACTTACAAATGGGCTTTTTTTCAAAAACACTGGCACCCCGAAGTTGATAAAACCTCTGCTGTTGTAAACCCTCGTTAAAAAAAAAAATAATAATAATAATAAATATATTAATAATAACAGAATAATAAAACAGATTATGTAATTTTGGTTGGCCATCCTCATTGGGTTGGTCTGTCATTTCGCCTTACACGCCTTTTGTAGTAGTGATGGGATCAAAAAATAATCCCTTCATTTTAATGGCAAAATTTAACATCACAATTTAGTAGCTACAGGAGCTAAGATAAATTTAAAAAATTGAAACCATATAATTTTGTTGCAGTAATGAGATCCAAAAATAGGACGATTCAGCGACAGAAATAAGGTTTAAAAAAATCATCAAACACTTGTATTAAGTTCATTATTGTTAGAACTGTCAAAAAAAACTGCATAGCAATGATAATTTTAATTGTATTCAACAGCATTTATTATCGATAAATGTGAATGTTTAGTAATTAAAGTAAGCACAGACACAAAAATAATTAAATAAAACAGTCAAACGTGAATTATACTGTATGCATTTTATCTATAACATCTGTGCACATTTTCTCACAATCAAACGTGGTTCTACTGTTACTTCACGCATTTTTAAGGTAGGAGAGAAAAGGATAAACAATGGTGCAAAAAAATAAAAACAAAGATCCATAAATAAAATGCCATCATTTAATACAATTTACCAATATTTTATACAAACAGTCTCAAATTAAAATAACTAAACGTGTAATTAAAATCACACGGTAAGGCTTTAATTCATATAACAATAATAAAATGGTACAAGAAAGGTAAAATAAGAACTGAAATGACTCGATAAAAAATTCAAAAAAGACTGATTTTGAAATAAAAGTAAAAACAATATTAAATTATTTACATCTTTAGAAGAAAAAAAATTAATATTGATTGCTTACATAAATTGTATAAATCCCTAGAAAATAGAGAGAGTGTGAGAATAAAAAATCCTAAGACAGATTATTTTAACTCATACTTAAAAAAAAATGTATGGCTTTAAAAAACAAAACAAAAACATGCTTCTTTTCAAAACGAAGTACTTACTTTCTCAGTCTCATGCAATGACCATTATTTGATATTAATGTAAAGCATGGGGAAAAACTCCGATTTAAGAGGAAGAATCTACATACTACAACTCTCTCTGAAATACGCCACGCAAATTTACCTTGTCCTCGACTTGTGTGAGCGTGAACGAGATCGACTGCGGCTGCGCGTGGCAGGCCGCCTAGATCGCGAACTATGTCTTGAGTTGCCAGGGCTGATGGACATCGACTTGGGCGAGCGACCCTTCGACGATTTGCTGCCTCGAGACGCTCTCGACACACGAGAGTCACGTCCAAATGCACCCGAGCTGCTCGATGACCAAGAGCTGCCACGAGATGAACTGCTGTAAAAAGACAAGAAAAAATTCAAATATTGATCAAATACAACAATAGTAATAGAATTATTTATAGGTAACACAGGAGGGCTTAAATGCCAAATAGGGACAAGTTCTAATCCCCAGTGTAGCTAAAGATGACATTATTGTCTTGCGCAAACTGATGGTTCACTTTGTTTATCCCCTGGTTGCAAAATATTTTGTCTTGTGGAAATGGTTTACCCAAGTTGGCGTTTTGTGAGTAGTTCTCACATTTAGTTCGTGCAAGGGGAACCCAGCTCAAGGGCTATGTCAAGATTCAAAACCAGAACTACTGTCATGGTGAATATGAGTCGGACGCCCTAACCACTTGGCCACCATTGTCCCTTAATCATTTGATTGTTTATACATAACATTAAAATTGTCAGGGTGTGAAAATTATTATTAGTCATGAAATTCAATGAGCCTGTAAAGCGTTAAAAACTTTGATTATTTATGTTAATATTATCCCACTCCACACAAGGTCTAGCCAGCTAGTGCCCAAGGTCTAACCCCTCACAGCTTCATCCATGGCACGGTTTCACCATCTGAGGATACATGTACAGCCTTGTCAGTCAGCCAAGGTTTGCAACCTGAGACTGTTTATAGCTGAGTCAGAGTGTAAAACTGGCCTGTACCAGAGACCAGTCGAGTTGAGATGGAGTCAGATGCAGAGACCATGGGTCAGTGATGATCAGAGGCGTCAGAGTTGAGATGGAGAGTTGGAGTCAGCCATAGTTTTTTGCCAGAACTAGATTGAGCTGAATCTGGAGGTTAAGGCCTCTTTCAAACAAGATTAGTTGATTCAACTAGTTGCTTGAATCCTGTCACACAGTCAACGTCTACCCATGAGGGTGGCCAGTAGGCCACTCACGTTCTCATCCCCACTGTTGACACTACACAAAAGACACAACTTGGCATTCGTCCATCACACCAGCCCTCAAGTTGACACAACAGAGTTCATCATAGAAGGCATTGCAATTGGTTTTTAGGTGGAGCAGTTCGAAAAAATTCACATTAGTCCCACAATACAGGAAGTGTGAGGAGTATGGCGATAAAATTTTAAAAATGAAGGTTGAATGGAAGAGGCATGGTGACAACAGACGAACCCACACTTTTCTTTGAGTGGATTCTTTGTTTTTGCTTCCCTTCTTGCAGAAGAGCAAGCACAAAAATTGCTCCTGCTACAATGGGCTCTAAAGGTCTTTGCCCACTAGAACGTATCATACTAGGACCGTAACCGTACCGGCACTTGCAAATAAATTTTCTTTACAACATCTAGTGTTTTTTGTTTTCCTCTTCCTCGTCCAAAATAATGGCAATCATGGCCAATTCTCATATAGATAATTTTCTAATAGCCATACTTTATTTAACAAATTCACTCCACACACACACACACACACAAAAAAAGTTCACAAACAACGCGTTTTTAAAAAAGAAATGTTCGACAGCGACTGAAGCAGGACAGCTACGAAACGTTTTTATATACGCAGTACATGCGGGTATAGAACGTGGTTCATCCGTTGCAGTGGGCATAGTAGTGACCGCAGCGTTTTTTTTGTGCCTGACACGGTCCTAGTATGTTACGTTCTAGTGGGCAAAGATCTGAATATTGTACTGACCATTGGGAAGAGAAGTTGATTTCACAAGAAAAGTCAACTAGTTGAATCAACCAAACAATCTGAAAAGGCTTGTCCTCCTGAGGAGTTTGTCATTAGGAGAGGACCTCCAGCAATCTACTGCCTTCAAGACCTAAAACCCAGCCCAACGTTCCTCCCCTGCATGAACACAGGCAATAAAACTGATTATTAAAAAGGGGCACCTTTATAATTTCGACTTCAAAAATCCAAAAGTATTACACACAGAACAAAACAAACGTAAACGTAATTTCTTAGAAATGGTTCATATCAACAGAGATAAACACAGCATCAATTACAGAACAGATACATGTAAACTCAGTCGCAGCTACACCAATATCATTAATCAAATTTAATACAGATAACATACCTATATCATCACATTACATTCCACAAATCAAATATTTTTCACATAGTCTAATTTCCCAACAATTTAGCCTTCCTTTTCCTATTTATCCCTTTCTATATAATCCTGAAAGGATAATCTTGCCGAACCATTACCAACACATTGTTTCCCTTCGTCGGCTCTTTTTACTTCAAAGAAGCCGACGCCTTATACAAAAATGTCTTTTCTATACCGACTTCCTTCCCCACCCCTTCAAAATCCAACGTATATAAACACAAAACAGCAAAATCTCACTGGCACTCTCAATACGACACGCAAGAATGGCACAATTACACAGAAGACAAACACTTTGAGTGAGTAGAAATACTTTGATTGAATATATAAAAAATATATTTTGCATTGTATAAATTCACTTTTCCACATCCAAAATGTATTTGTTAAATGTAAACAATGTTTGTAAATCCCAGGCCCTGAAGATGATCTCAATAAAGATCGAAACGTTGGCACGATAAAGAAAATGTTTTTCTGAAACCTACATCACACCAGACCGCATCTCACGATTTCTAAATAATTATTTATTTATTTATTCAATTAAACCCCCTTTCACTGACTGCTCTATTTAAGGGAGGTATCCTGGGGCACAGGAGACACAATATAACATGGAACTTTAAGCAAACAGCATTAACATTCAGACTGATTTGTAAAGACACTCCTGAGATACACCAACATTTTTGATTTTAAAAAATATTCAAAAAATCGAAAAACAGTTTTTATAATGAACATTTAATAATTGAAATAAAAACTTGTTCCTTCCTGTAGTTTCAGGCTTCCTTTGCAAATTTTACTAAATTTAAACACTGGGGGTTATTTAAACAATAAATTAGGTGTTCTCTTGTCATCGTGGGCAAGGCTATGACGCACTGTGAATTCTGCCAAAACTTCGATAAAAAATTAACACTATCCTCTTAGCTCACATCTTGCATAAAGAGCACTTATGGAAACTGCTGTCTTTTGTAGGGATATAATTAACAAAAAGTAACTAGCACCTAAATTTGTAAAACCAGGGGAGCTAACAGTACGGATAGATTTTAGAATATAGTGATATGTTCAAGTTAATATTGACAACCTTATATTGCAAAAACCTAGAGGGATTTTGCGCTTGAAATTGACACTGTGAAAGGTATGGATATCATTAATTAATTTAGCATTTAAAAGTGGACAATCTTTATAATCGTCCAGGGAAAAATTGGCATTGCTGAAATTGATGAGCCGAGGAATCCAGGAAGGGAACCATGAAATTTTAGACCTAATGATCTCTAGCGCAGTAATTCTGGGAAGGTGATGCTTAGGAAGGTTAAGACCTTAAAGACAGGTGTGTAAATTTAATATAAATTGAAACATGAGGTCAACTGAGGTCTCAATGTAGATCATGTAATTAGGAGTGAAAGAAGGGAGTTGGTACACTTTACGGATAAAATAGCGTTGTAGGGATTCAATTACATCACCTTGCTGGAAGCCCCAAGCCTGGGAAGTGTAGCACACAATCGAGCGGCAAACTGTGAAAAACAACTGGTATTTTCTTCAAACTGGGACGATTGCATTTGAAATGAATTGGTCCAAGAATTTATTGCATATTTTGCAATGTGAATCTTCCGTTTAAGATGGAAATTGAATGAGAGTTTAGGAGTGAAAATTAAACCCAAGTATTTATACTTATTGACTGTGTCAATGCTAGAGCCCTTAAATACCAACCCTCGTTAGCCACCAGCCTGCCTCCCACACCAAAAACCATAATTTTAGATTTATTTTGGTTGACTGAAAGATTCCATGTATTACAGTAGATCTCTAAAGCATTAGTATTTTTTTTACCGAGTGACCGGCAAGTCTGTCAGAATTACAATATTGTCCGTGTTTAACAGGATCTTTATTTCAGTATTTACATAACGAATACTGCATTCAAGACAATTAGGGAGATCGTCGATATACAAGGAGAATAATAAAGGGCTCATGCTACAACCCTGTCTAACGCCAAAAGAGAGCCCACCTCAAGGAGATCCAAAGCGTTCAAATGTACAATGTTCTTCAGCCAAAAAAAACTTTAAAGGACTGTGTGACACCGATTCATTTACAAAAATACCCCAACACCCTACAACAAGATTCAATATGGGGATTTTTCAAAAGAGGTACAACTAGAACGCCCATATATGGGAAGGATTTTAGTGTCTTTCCAGAATGACAACTAACACAAATAAAATATTTTCAAAATCGGGGCGTCAGTGGCCCCAATGGTTTAGGCATGGACACAATGCTCATCTAGCGGCCGAGGCACCTCATAGTTTAAATAATCACATAAAATTTAAAAAAAAATCTTGCTGAAATTTCAAAAGTACTTTTTTGTATATGAATTTACCTGCTGCTCGAGCTGCTAGAATCTGATGAAGATGAAGAATCGGATGAATTGCTCCGTTTCCTCCTCACAGTCGGGGACGCCAGTGCAGTTCTGTCTATAGGCGACATATCCGGTTTTACCGGTGAGACAGATAACTTGGGTTTATCAGTGTTCGTTGAAGAAGCCGTGTACTTTTCCACAAAAGGAGATGTTGGGTTCTGTGTATTGCCAGCCTCAGATGCTACTAACGCGGTTTTGTGTGTAGTTTCTGAGCTATCTTTGATCTGGGTTTTAACCAATGACTCTTTGGCTTTTGCCGCAAGGCCAGTCTTGAGCTTTTCCAGTGATTCGAGCTCTTTTTCACTTTCGTTGTCTTCATGGACACGATCTGAATCAGCTGCTTCCTCCTCTCCACTCGAGTCGTGCAGATGTACAACAGGTTTTGGATGACGGTTCAAAATGTCTCTGTACCGTTCTGGGTATTTTTCAACAGGTGAATAACTTAGACTGGAATTGGAACTGGACCTCATCCTGCTTTTTTTATCTGTCTTTTTCAATCTGTCAATTGACAACGATCTATCTCTTGATTTGGATGAAAGGCTTCTTGATTTTTTCCTCCTCATCGAAGATTTTGATTTTGATGGGCTCCTTGAGCTTGATCTTCTATCTGAAGTCCTTCTTGGAGTTCTTGATCTCCTTCTCCTATCAGGGGTATGGCTTCTTTTTAAATATTTATCCCTCTCATCACCTTTGGACTTTCTGTCAGAATATTTGTCATATTTTTCCACCATTTTATTTTTTTCATTTGTTTCAGAAAACCTATTCGATTTTGAGTAAGAATCTTTAAATTTTGACTTCTCGTTATCTTTGTTATTCCTGGATTTGACATTGTCTCTTGGATCGTTACTTATACTTCTCGATTTGGTATCTTCTTTGTGAGGAGATCGCACTTTTCTCTCCCGATCTCTGACATCTCTGCTCTCCCTTTCTTTTACCTTTTCCTTCTCACGTACTTTCAGTTTCTCAATTTCTCTGCTTACTGACTTCTTACGGGTTTTTTCTCTACTCCTACTCCTGGATGTCTTCCTGACATAAGGACTTGGGCTTCTGCTGTGAGATACAGGCCTTTTTGTCTTTTTGCAGTTCTTCTCTTTCTTATGACTATCTCTACTCTGTTCCCTGGAAGTGTCCCTGATTTCTCTACTGCTAGTAGATCGTTTTGATCTTTCTTTACCAATGGGTGATCTGTCTTTTTTAATTTTATAAGCAGCCGGTTTTTCAAAGCTGGTACTCCTAGAACACCGTTTGTCGTCTTTACTGAGAGACCTGTCTTTCTTTGTCCTTGAAGTGTGTTTCTTTTTGTCCTTGCTCTTACTATCGCATCGTTCTTTCTTTTTAACAGGAGTAACATCTCTAGTAGACTTTCTCTTCTCAGGGGCCGGTGACCTGTAGTACTTCTCCCTACTTCTGCTCCTGCTCTTTTTCTCCAATTTGATCGGTTTTGTGGGCTTGGATGGTGATAAAGACCTGCTCGTGCTGTGTTTCCTTTTGGCCTCTTTCTTTGAGTGTTTCTTGCTACAATAGGCATCAGGCTTCGCCCAGGAAGGGGAAGAAGACCGCCTTCTATCGGGCTTTGGTGATTTGGGCCTTTCTTTTTTCTTCTCTTTTGGAACTGATGTGCTGTGGCTTCTGCGTTTTTTAGAAGCTTTTACTGTTTCTTCGGTTGTACTGTGTTTACTCTTTTTCTTTTCTAGTCCCTTGTGGTCAGACGCCTTCCTCTTGCTAGAAGATGCACGTACCTCAGGGGAACTATAAATAAAAATAGATAAAATTAAATTAATTTTTTTTTCTACTAAAATTATAAAAATATTAATAATTGCTGCAATATTGTTTATTTTGCCAGCTAGCAATAATGGTGATGAAGAGGATATTTTAATTGCAAAGAGAAAGGTATAATTTGTTTTTGGTCTGCACATCCTCACTGGGTTGGCCTGGTCAGGTGTGTTTTGGTATTTCGCCATCTTTAGTGTGTCTGTGATTTTTGTTAAGTCAAGTCTCTTTTATAAGGTTGTGAGGTGCATGGTGGATTAATATTTTTTTAAACAGGGTTTTGCAGCAGTAAGTCATATCAATAATCAATAAAAGTGTATTTAAGATACGGGCCTTGCGAATTATAGGAAACAAATTGAATTAGAAGGGAAGCGGACCAGACGTTAATGTGGACATTCCGGACCTCTCAGACTCTATGGGAACACAAGGGCCGGAGAAAAGATTGTCTGGCTTGGTTTTTCAGTCCATGTTGTAGTTTTTAATGGGTCAGAGCTAGTATAGGAGTGCCAAACTGATAGATATTCCTGGTAGTTCTTCAGATCAACGTGTGCAGGTCAGCGGAAGGTGAGTGATTGGTTCTTTCATCTGTGCGGTACTTGGTCATCAGTGTAGTTTTAAGAGCCCCGATGCTTATATTATTGTTGTAAATTTTATGTGAAATAAAAGGCTAAATCAAGGACGTTATTATTTGTAGCCAACCTAACAATAGTGTCAGTTGTGGAGTCAGGTTACCCTTGAATATTAGAGACTAGAAAATATTGAAACGAGACATTTTTAAATGACACATTGTTTTTGAATAAACAAACTCTTCTTGTATTTCATTTTTATTTTACATAATTTTACATTTTACAACATGCAGATCAGATACTATTTTAATCTTAAAAATAAATTAATTAATTAAATAAAAAGTTGTACATTTTCCAAAGCCTTTTTTTCCTTTTGATTTCCATCCATGTCTGTTGATCGGACAAGGCTTGGTTTCAAAGCAAGTTTTATTTCTATTAAGAAGGGATAAGATTTCACCTACTTCCCATTCTCCCCGGGCTTGAGACTAGATCAATTACATATTTTGGTAAAAGTTCTACCGAAAGGACATTTCCTGGGGAATAGTCAGTCGTGCACGAAGAACTGGAGCTGCAGCTTTCAGAGATCTGGCAGGACAAGAAAAAATGGCTCAGAACGAATTGGAATCTGTCATGAAGCAACTGGAAGTAGAATGTGAGTCATTGTTGGCCACCAGAGTGGGAAACGAGTTGGACGAGTCAAGAGATCTAAACCTACAACTTGTACGGCCCGGGACGGGGATTCAAATGCTGTGCCGGAGGGGCAATTCTGAAGAGCCTAGAAAGGGTGTCCAAAGTAGACTAACGAAGACATCCTAGTTGCCGAAGCGAAGACTTTAGGACCTGCTGACACCTACCATCATGCGAAGCCTGAGATCCGGATTCTTGAACAACTGCGAACCAAATTTGTCCATTGGTTCAAGACTTGCAGACCAACGTTTATGCTCGAGAGCTACTTACAGCCTGCCAGAAATAAGGGTAGACGGCCTAAGAGTTTGCTGATTGTTGCTGTATCCCTGCCAATCGAGCATATTCAAGCAATAATTGGACAGAGGTTCAAATTCAGCAAATTGTATTGACCAGCTGGCCAGGAGTAATAGAGTGGATGAACTGGTGAATTCTTTTCCTTGTTGACCTTGATTTCTAATCGAATTATTGACGAGCAATATGGAATAAGAAGTGTCTTTCTTTGTCACCTGATCATCAATGCGAATTCACAATGCCTGCTTTCTCTTCGCTGCTCATCAACTTGCCGGTTTCACAGGTCAAATCTTTCCGTTCAGCCTGCTCAAGTCATTCAAATATCTACCTAATCCTAATATCTATCTAATCCTAATTATCTATCAACCTTGGCCAGGTCACTTTATTGTCCAACATATTTATAATTAAATTAACTTTATCGTCCAATATATGTATGTTGTTAATTATGTCTAGTTTAATTTAATTGATCTTTCTCCTATATCACTTCATGCTACTGTCAGGGGGTCAATGTGAAGGTGAACAAAGCAAAGGTAAGGAGAGTTGCTGCCAATTATGGACAGGCCCTTCTTTTAACACATTTTGGTCCTCCGGGCCAGATTTCTGATCTTCCTTGCCTCCTCACGCTTGTCACCATATTCCTAATTTTTTTGCCCACTGAAACGTTCCCCTGGTACGCACGCTTGCCTCATCTTTACATTTGATTTTCATTCAATTTGATCTGATGCTGCTTTACAACCAACATGCCTAAAAGGTTGTATGATCAAGATAGGGATAAAGCACTCTCAGGAAAACACCGATGAATTGCCCATCTTCGAAGCCCGTGTTTCCCAACTAATAGCACATTTGGGAAGTTTGTCTCATTGATTGCGGAAATACAGAAACGGATGATAGGAAAAAATGCTTTATGAGTCTACGAAGTTAAACGCTGAGGTGCAAACCGAGTACAATGAAACCTAGCCTTGTCAATGAAGCAGGATAGTCCGTTGCGCAACACGACTTTGTGTTCCAATCAGTCTGCAGGTCATTTTGACCATCTGAGACTGCCCAGCTCAGATCTACCTACCTTTGACAGTGATCTGTCAAAATAGACTCCTTTCAAGCACACATAGGTGTCGTTAAAACATATGATTGTAGAGTTAATGGAGGTGCAAAAATATCATTATTTGAAATCCTGTCCGAAGGGATTAGCGTCTCAGGTTGTTTCCACTATCGAAATATCCGAGACTAATTATACGCAAGCTTGGGAGGCCCTCGCAATCATATTAGGGCAATGAGTCATTTGACTCACCTTTTCAACTTCAAACCTATGACTACTTACAAAACTTTTTTGCAATTGTTTTGGAAAATTGTAACACATTCTGGAAAATGCAACTTCCGGACAATGCCGTATTTGTGCTGTACACTTTCACTTTGCATCTCCTAGACTCCAAAACCCCGACCTTTTCTGATTACTCCGAGTTTATTCAGAGGCAGATATTGAAAGCACAGTCGAACGCCATTGCCCTTGCTTCAAGTTCCTACTCCATTTCTGGGGCAGAAATCAAATACCCGAAATTAGCGAAACGTGTTTATGTCAACTAATGAACTTCCCCACCAACTGAAATGTCCGACCTGTCAGAACATCGGATATTTGAGCATTAAATTCTGTGCTCATGGAGTCTGAAGAAGCGCTGGGAACAAATCATTGCTTAAATTGCTGATTTAATTGCTTGTCTTTAATTTAATTGGCTTGAGCACTCAAGCCGAGCCCCCCCCCCCCAGCATTCCTGTCGATGTTGCAACGACCATCACCATTTGTCGAACAACGGCATTATGCCTTGAAGTCTCTGCAGACATGCCCAATGAAAACCCACATACGCAAGAACGCTCTTGTGCAAAGGCATTGACACTTGATCAACTACCAAAACCTGGAAGTTTCTCCAATGCTGAACCTAAACTGGCTGTTTTATCTGCATCAACAAAAGAAGGCAGTGACGTCCTTCTAGGTACAGTACAAGCCAGAATACAAGGATGAGATGGCATTCTACATTCTCTTAAACTTATCATCGACAACAGATCTCAGCATTCGTTTATAACATAAGAATGCGCATGTTGTCTGTCACTTCTGACTAAACAGAATATCTATAATTTGGTTGATTTGGAACCAATGCTCTAAAAGGAGGAAATTTTGAAATCTCATGCATACTATTCAAATAACCTCCCAAACACCATTCCTACGTATCACTGTGATTGTAATCAATAAAATATGTGGAGATATGCCGTCATGTAATCTCCAATGGTTGACACACCTAAGGATCTCAAAATGGCCGACCTTTACTTCTGTAAGGCTGGACCTATTGATTTTCTGTTGGGAGCGGTTCTCTTTGCCCACATTCTCTTGGGAGAGGTCAGGAAGCTATCCGATCGACTCCCAAACGGACTTAAGACAGTGCTCGACTGGGTCATGCTTGGACAGGTCAACCTTCCATATTCTCTGAAACAGATTTCGTTGCTTGTAACCGCCCAATCTGAACGTGATGATATGCAGACAGTGATGTCCCAATTCTGGAGCCTCGAAGTTATGGTTGTCCCTAAAGATGACCCATCGAACTGTCACTGTGAAGTACATTTTGTCAAAACGCACTCGCAAAAGGAGAACAGCAAGCACAACCGATTTCATAAATTGGAACAACGCCTTTTAAGGGATGCTGATCTAATGGCCAAATACAGTTGGGTGTCCCACGATTACATATAACGGGGCTATCTGTCTGCTGCTTTCCTTGACGAACTTTACTTTCTTCCTCATTATGGCATGTTATAGGATGGTTCGACGACAAAACTGCACCTCATCTTTGACACCCCCCACACGACATCCTACGGCACACTAAACCACCAACTAATGATGGGCCAAAATTGCAAAAAGAAATAAAGGACGTTTTACTGACATTTCAGATCCACAAATTTGCTATGACCTCAGACATCATGCCAATGTATCTAAAAATCCTTATCGCGAACAAGAATTGGAGATTCCAGCACCTCATCTACAGGTTCGATCTTGATGAGGCCGTTCAGGAATACGAATTTCAACGATTATCATTTGGCTTGTCCACACTCTCTGAAAAGTTGCTGTTAAGGCAACTAATAAAGGATGAAGGCGATTGATGAAGGCCTTATTGAAGCATACATATGTTGATGATACATTAACAGGATCTGATATGATTGAAGAAGCCCAATTGCTTCAGCAGGAATTGATGGAGAGAAAGAAATAAACAAAAATATTGGAAGTTCCATTTATAAAGCTATCCTCGACCACAGAATACGCTAGACATCTCTCCAATGATAGAGCAGATCACGCATGTCCCAAAGAGCCTGGTTATCCTCAACAGCACTTGTCAAATTTGTTGCAATCCATCGAAATGAAAACGCAACGAAAAGGTAACCAAAAAGTAAAGAACACCATTAAACAATGGTGAGCGTTTGATGTCACGTGGTTGACAGCTGAATTCAAAGTAACAATTTGGCCGAATAGGTCGGGAAAATCCAACTTTATTTGGATCAGAAAGTGCTTCGGCTGTGCACGACCCTACACGACCGAGCGAAGTGGTTCTAATGGACGCGTGCTCATTCATTTCTTTACTTTTGGATCATCCAGTGGACGGCCTACCTAAAGCAAAGGTCAGCAACGCCCCTAATCTGCTGGGTGATGCAACAGCTCGTTCATCTATGCCGTCTGTTCCATTGCCCAACTTGGAGGACGACTATTAAGATGTTGGGAACGAGAGAAAAGAGAAATAAGGTTGACCATTGCGAGGATGTATGATCCCCTTGCACTCATGGCTCCAATAATATTCACACCACCATTATTAGATTTGCTGATGCTTCGTCTTTGGGATATGAGGTGGTACCTTAGCTAGGAACCGCTTGCAAAAATCTGCCTGGCTCTGCTGAAGCCACTTATCATCCCGTGACTGGAACTCTGCACAGCATTGCTGCTGATAACACCGGGAAAACCCTGGCTGACTTCTTCGAAGACTTCGAAAGGTAGATTAAATCATTCTACTCACCAATTCATCCAGTGTTCTGGCATGGCTTCAGAATCCTCTGCATCGCATAAAGACATTCGTGGCCAATAGAGTCGTGAAGATATTGGAAAACTCATCGCTCAAATGCTTGTTTCACGTACGATCAGAGGACAATGCAGGTATTCTTACAAGTCAAATGTCGTGGTGGATGGGGCCAGGATTGGATGAATGAAATTAATGAATCAAAACAATCGAAAGAAGAGTGGCCTCTGAACTTGGCTGGAAGGCGGATCCGACTTACTGGAAGTCACGTCTCAAACCATTCTGCTGACTGCCAAGGTAGGTACGATTGAGACCTTATGGGAGTGATTTTTATCATACTCGTGGATGCTTAGAGTTGTTGCTACATGTGTTGTTTAATTGCGAGCTAAAACAGAGGAACGGACCTCTGGCATCTTGACATTAAGAGAAATCAACGTGACCCATCCTTGCAGCATCACTTTCAGAAAAATTCGAGAGAGTTAAAATCTCTAAATCGTTTTGTGGATTCTCTGCCCCACAAATCCCACCTCTCCATGCTATTGACTGACCATCTCCATAGGGTGCACGCTCACGCTGGGCCTCAATTATTACTCATGTTACTGAACAAAGATTCTGGGTTACCAATGTGTGACGGCTTGTCTGATTTTGTGTCCACCGCTGCATTCACTACCACTGACTGAGAATTGGACCCAGTGTGCCTCTCATGGGGGATTTGCCTGCCTCATGTTTTTTACAAGATAAGCATTTCTGAATAAGGGAGTGCATTTCACCAGTCAATTCCAGATACAGGAATATCTACAATGCTACTGTGGGTAAAGCCTAAGTTTGCTTGTTTGTTTGTCTTGGAACTAAGGCTGTGCATATTGAAGTGAGTTATTGACTGCAGCATTTCTCGCATGCTTGGACCAATGTGCTGCTAGAAGAGGGTCCTGATCAAGATGAGATCTGACAATGCGAAAAATTTTGTCAGAGCTAAGCTTGAGCTGTCCGAACTTTATGTCTGGTGTGCTTCCGAGAATAGGAGACAAGAAATCAATGTCCAGATGGTGAAGCTAACCATCAAATGGAGCTTCATACTGCTGTCAGCCGTAACTTTGGAGGATTATGGGAGGTGGTGGTAAAGTCACTGAAATATCACCTCACACCTCTGGACCAACAACCATTAACTTTTGAAGAGTTGTGCACCGTGACTATCAAGATTGAAGAAATTCTAAATTCACGCCCTCTATATGCGATTTCATTCTATCCTGATGATATTTCTGCTGACACCTGGACATTTTTTAGTTGGCGAAGCCCTAGTATCATTGCCCAATGTGATTGGACGGATCGCGCATCACATATGCTGACTCGATGGCGATTCCTGCAAAAGTGTGTGGCAGATATTTGGGAAAAATGGTGCCTGGAGTATCTGACCACTCTGCAACAATGAACAAAAAAGCAACAGACCGACAACAACATGGATCTTGGAACAATTGTTGTTATGCAAGACGAATAATATCATGGCCTGTCGGATGCTTCATTGAACAGCACCCGGGCAAGGATGGGGTGATACGAGTTGTACACATCAAAATTCCCTAAGGGGAATACACACGCCCGTTACACATCTATCACCTCTGCTCCCTGAACCCTGAAACTTTCCAATCCTGTTCTCCCACCCTGCAACATCTCTTTTTCTCTTAGTGAAATTTCTATTGAAATTTGGTGGGCGGTATGTTTATACCAGAGAGAATTTTGTTTATTTAATTTTATTTTTTCGGATTTCCATGGTGATGAAAAACCAAAAAAGACTGGGGGGGTTTCCAGCTGGCCCAGATTAAGAGAGTGTGGACAAACTGGTGAATTTTTATCCTTTTGGATCTTGATTTATAATCTAATTAGTAACAACTATACCACTGGCATAAGAAGTTAAGTGTTTTCTTCTTCGGCCACACATTGCTGCGAATTCACGACTCCTGCTTTCTCTTCGCCGCAGATCAACTTGCCGGTTCACAGTTCAGATCTTTCCTTTCAGTCTGTTCATGTCATCCAATAAGACATTGCTTTGAAGTTTTTTTTTTATTTTTTTTTTATTTTTTTTTTTATTAATTCCAGTGATGATATTTGTTTTTTTTTTAATTTTGGTAAATTTCCTATAATAATTTTGTCATTATTTTCTTTAATTTATCAACCCTGGCCAGGTCATTTTATTGTACAACATATGTATAATTAAACTAACTTTATCGTCCAATATATATATATTAAATTAATTTTGTCTAGTTTAATATAATTTATTTGTCTCCTACATCACTTTATACTTACGTGGAGGTGCAGCCTGCACCTTGACAAAAAGGTAAGTTGCTGCCAATTATGGGCAGTCCCTTCAGTCAACAGTAGCCAACCTAACACAGACCAACCTGGTGACGACAAGCAGACCAAAATGATCCATACAAACAAATCCCAGGTAATTACTCTGCAGTTCACACAAAGAAATCTCACAAAAGTACATAAAAGCACATTTAACTGTATTTTCTTATTTGTGATTAATGATTTATGATTAAATTCACCATTATTGAAAGTATGAAAGGTAGAAGAACGTAATATATATAAATCTAATTTTGAATGCTTACCTTTCCCTCGATGAGGCACTTTCTGAGTGTTTCCGTTTCCGATTGTGGGATTTCTGCAAACAAGATTACACAAACAGATTAGAAAAACTGAAAATCAGACGAATCAGGGAATTTAAAAGAAATTTCACTAAACGAGCATAGATAGAGTCTCTTTGAAAAATAATTTACAACAAATGACAATACTCCCTGGATGCCATTTTCTCTAGTTACTATAAACTTGTGTAATTCAAAGGGTCCAAAGAAATACAAATTGTAATAAAAACCGTACAATTACAGATAATTCTCATCAAACCTTTTCCAATACAAACCTTGGCATATATATTCCGACTTACCGCACATTTGGCGTTTAAACGAAAATGTCAACACATCTAAATAGAGAGGCAAATGGCTGATGCGCATAAATAAAATATTGACATAGTAAAGAAAAAGTAAAATGAAAATAAATAAATAGTTCTTGTAAAAAAGATGAAATAGAACTTAATCAAATCAAATATCATATGCAACACAGAAAACAACAACGAATTGGTGCCAAAGAATATAGAGTAGAATAGAGACATACTTACTATTTTATCTCATTCCATTGTGAAAACGTCCACATTTAAGGCTAGCAATATTTCATAAGAAGACAACGATAATTTTGTGTTTAATAAATTTGAACAACGTTTGGATTTAACGTATACAATTCTAATAACAATAAAATAATTTCATCAACAGATTTTTCTTAATTAATAATTTTGTTTATATTTATGGTTAACTTTTTATAATCCGTTTATTTTGCATTAAAAAAATTTTACTTTGCATTATAAATTAAAATTTAAAAAATATAGTCTAAACTGTACTAGCCTTTTAAAGGAAGGACCCCTAGTTAATTTAACAAAAGAAAAAATAGACCCTGCAGTCTCTATGTAAGGGAATATCCTTAGATTTTATGAGTAATAAGGCAAATAGAATTTGCGGTTTTAGATGTATCCTAGTATAACATCTGCATACCATGCTTCAATAAAATAAAATATATATAAAAAAAAAACATAAAAAGTAAAACAATTTACATATCCAAATGGCACACATACAGATACAATGGAAACAAAAAACAACAAAAACAAAAACCTAGGACGATATAAGGAGTTTGAATACATCGTATTTTGTCTGCTTTTTTTTTCCTCCCACATTACAAGGTGTTCTCTCTTTCAGGGTGAGGTAAACATTGAAATGCATGGTTGCCATGGATAGCAATGTTACAGGGAACAGATAGAAAGAGAGAACGTCAATTTCATTTTCTCACAAGGAATCAGTTACTTACCACATCCTTATCCTTTTCCTTTGTAGAACCCTTCTTTGTCAACTTTTTCTTACGAGAGACTTTCTTCTCACCGTCACTACTGTCATCACTGAAACCAAGATATAAAAATATGTTAAAACACAAACATCAAAAGCATAAAAACATGTAAATTCCAAAATCATGTTTAACAATTTGTTGACTAGTTAAACAAGTCCGAAATGTTTTCATTTACTCCAGTCTGTAAGAAAAAGGCTCAACGAAAATAACCTCAGGGCGAGGCGCTCTGTTCGTGGACCTCAGAAAATGGCCAGGCTTCAATTCGCATGGGAACATGTGAATAGGTTATTGAAAGATTGGGGACAAGTTCTCTTTAGATATGAGGTAAGAGTTGGTCACAAATTTTCATAAAGATGAGTGTAATCTGAAGACGTTCAGGAGAAAGGTGCACCCCATGCTGTATGGTTCCTCCGATGGCATTCCACGGTTGGTCCAGATTTGAACCCAATCAAACAAATCTGTTAACAACTGAAGCGACGAGTAACTGAACAAAACCCAAGCCCTAAACATTCCTAGAAGAGTTAGAAACGGCTGTCCTTGATGAATGGGAAAGAATTCTTCAGGATTTTACCAGAAATCTTTTCCAAGGAATACAAAGGTCCTTAAAAAGGTCAGATGTGATTCATGTCAGCGGTGGAAATACTCTTTTTTTTAAATTAGGCAATAAAATTTTCTTTTTAAATGTCTTATTTTTACAACCAAACCTATTTTTCATACGCACAATACAAATAAACCTAAATACATTAAAATGTAAGGGTTGTGTATTTACTAGTCTGTCAGTGTATCTATCACCTGTCAAATCAAATAGCAAGCAGACATCATAAACAACATAATACGAGTGTTCTTTTTTTTAAATCTTTAATATGTAAGTTCTACTTATGAACTAATTTTTTAAAACTTACTTCAATTCTCAAAAAAAAGTATTCTTATCTTCACCAGAATTACAAAAAACGTATTAATCCTTAATTATTTGTATCCTGTACATATTAATACATATTACAAATATCTGCATATATGTTTTTTTTTCTCCTGGTCTCAACACTGACACAATCACCAGCACTGCTCCCAGAGGACACAGTATAAGAGAATCCAGTTAAGATTGACAGATTAGGGAATGAGGAGGTCTCAAGGCATTTAAGGTGATGCGACAGATCCTCGGATGGGAAAGTTTAGGTTTAAAACAAAATATATATTTTAAAAAAAATTAATAAAAAATTAATTAAAAAAACGAGGAATTTCAACTACGAGTTAAGAGATTATATGAACCCTTGGGGTGCTGTTTTTGATAATAATAAAAAAAAAGCCTATTTGTAAGTTTGCCGGGTTCAAATGCAGGGCCGCTGGAATTAAACCCAGTGATGATCACCATGTCAACGCCTAAACTGTTGCAGCCACCGATGCCCCCACAGGATTAAGCAATAAGAAGGATTGAGAGCTTGGTGTTGAACTTTTGGAAGAGAGATCAGATGTTTGTTGACAAGAATTTGAGTTTATTGTGGATAGTGTAGTTGGTGGCATAGTAAAGTGCTATGACAATTTGTCTGAGGACTTTAGCTCATTAGGATTAGATTGGATTAGAATTGAAAATAGCTTGGTGAAACACCAGTTCCACTCTATAAAGTGGTCATAGAAATGTCTCAATAGAGTTAGTTGAGTTTTGACGATCAATACAGATTTCAGGCCTAAAAGTCGTTGTAGTTTCCAATTCTTATGTTATGTTGTTGTCTTAAGTCTCGTGTGGAGATTTTGTTGTCCATTTTACTCATTCAATTTTGTTGTACTTTTTACACCAGTCTTTGATAAGACTAAGGCATTCTTGGATATTGGAGGTTGTTTGCATAGGATTTGTGTTAGAAACAGAATTTTTATTACAATGGTAATGAAGTATTTGAATGTATAGGAAAGACAGCACTAAAAATGTTGTAATGGATGGGACCAAAAATACTCCCTTGTGAGACACCAGCTTGTACTGATATGGAATATTCATCACCACCCCTACTCTGAAGCAGTAATCTGTTAAATAGGATAAGGTAATAAGGAGTGTGAAGGAAGCATTTAAGAGGAAGCATGGTTACCAGAGCCTGTCAAAAGCACGCAACCCAGGGATGCATCCAAGCAATACCCTATTTTCTCTATTATTATTTTTTTTAATAATCTTTCAAATATTGAATACACTATTAAACCTATTTGTGCAATGTTTTTGCTTTGTTTTTGAGTAATAAAATAAATGATAGCTGAGGTGTAAAAATGGTTTTAATTACCTGTCGCCTGAATCTGAACTGCTCTCATAACCAGGACTAGAACTAGAGGTTGATGCGGCTCGTTTCTTCTTCCGTTTCTTCTTCTTCTTGCTCTTCTCCTTGCTCACTTTCTTTTTTGAAACTTTGGGAGATTCGGCCCTGGACAGACATACAAAACAGTGGGGAATTAATCAAGAGCCGAATATCCTTTTGGGAAAATTTCCCAGATCAAGGTAAGCCAAACCACTATTGTACGTTAAAGACACCTAGACACACTTTGAAAAAAAAAAATAATAAAAATAAAAATAAAAATAAATTAAATTAAAATAACACACACTACACCCTGCGGTCCTAAATGTAAATCCAAAGTAAAGAAGATAAAATAGGATATGAAAAAAACCACAAGACTCAAAAAAGAAAAAGAAAAAGTAAAAAATTTCCTTCAATTGATTATTTGTCAGATTCAGAAAATGGAACAAAATCTGTTTTGTTTTTTTACTATGTTTGTTAATGAATGAACATAAAATTCATAATATACTTACAATGATGTCAGGCAAGGACGCTCTTGTGAAAAAAATGATCTTATGTTAATAAAGCTCATAAATAAAAAAATATTCAAATAAAATTAACACTATGAAAACAAAGTTGGTAATTGTAATAAAAGTATCACCAATCAGTCAAACGGGTTTCAAAATTAGCAAAACGGGACAGAGACAACATTAAAACCCCTGAATTGCAACTGAACAGTAAACAGAATTCTTGTCATTACATTATTCGTTTTGGCCGTTGTCAAAACGCAATCGAAGAGACAGCTTTTCGCCCTTCGAGTTTTTCTGACAAGAAAAGCTGCTTGTTCGTATATGTACAAATTTTTCAAGCGCTAAAATTCAGCGCCTCTTACCTTCGATGATGATCGATAAATTCCTTTAAAGTGTTCTACGTGAAACAGAAAATGCAGATATTACTTCCTGCACACTAACTACAATGAAAGCCTAGACAAAATACAATATGTCATTACCTTTCTTTTTTATGTTTCTTCAATTTCTTCTTCTTCTCCTTCTTGCCTTCTACTGGTGACGCCCTTTAAAAAAAAGAAAAAAATGTAACACTTAAACACATAATTGACAGTATTATCAATGACTTACCTAGTAGGAGAAGGCGTTGGCGTTCGCACCAGTGCGTATTTGGCATTGTCTGGTGGGACGTTGCCATTTCTATCTTCTCCAAAATGTTCGGATATGCCAAATGCTTCTCTAAGCCGTGCATTTTTCTCTTGCTGCGCAGCTGCTATTTGATGGGTTTCACGTACGCTGAAAATATAGAAAACAAATAAATAAAACCTTTTTGCACGTAAAAACATTTTTTTTAACAATGATAAAATTAATGAACTGTCTACAATGATTACATTTAAAATTATTTTTACCCAGAATACTGTAAACAATTATCTCAATTTAAAAAAAAATTAAAATATTTATAATTATTATTTAATTGCAGCCAATTTAAATTATATGCCCTACTAACTTAAATTGCAACTTATATTATGTTTGTCATTAAGAATAAAAATAGCGAGAATCATCAAAGTGGAGTGCTACGCTTCAAAGATGCTTGGTGACCATTCACATCGTTTTTGGCACAGTTACCACTCATATGTGATTATTTTATACCTACTGACATTGGGTAGCATGGCGTCGGTCCAAGAGCACATATTTCACTTTAAATTAATGGACCCTTCTCCAACTCGATTTGCAGGTGAGGTGTGTAGTTGGATCAAATTTGGCCTAGCCGAGGCGAATGCAATACTATAAAGTTATAACGTAATTTTCATCATCAATCGCGATGTTCCATTTATCAAGGAAAACACTTAATCTTCCTTTAAGTGTTTTATTTAGTACCGGTGTAGTTTATGTTTGTGTAATGTGGTCGGTTCCTGTAGACCTGTTTTTTCAGTTCTGTGTTAAGTCAGTATTTCATTAATTTTGTTTTTGTGAAACTGCAGGGATACAATGATTTAATGAGTTTACTATTTACTGGATTTTAATGAAGCTTTAATTTTTATTTTATATTTCCTTCTTAATTCTTTTGTGTGATAATTCTTTTAAATACACCTTAATAAATAGTACTAGCATTAATATAGCTTATGATGAACAGCAAGTGCTTCTGATTGTGGTGCAGTGTCCAAATTTTTTATTGCTAAGTTTTTTCAAATAAGTTTCTTTGTTCGTTAATCCAAACCTATTAGAAAAAGCAACAAAATTACTGAAGTAACTCAAGATTTTTAATACAACTTCTAAAACAAAATTAGTACCAAAACACTACCAATTAAAACTAGTTGTTAGAATTACTTACTTATCAAATCAATGTAAATTATCGATCAATCATAAAACCCATTCCACACTTTCAAAAACCTCACCAACTTCTTACGTGATATATCGCCCTATCAGTTTGATGCCATTACATGGCAAAATCCTGGCAAAACTCCTGAAATATTTCTATCCTTGAAAGTTCCTAAGTAATTACATCCCATCAATTCTGGTTCAGACATCACTCTACCATTCAAAGGTGCCACAGGGTAGTAGACATCATCGTTTACGCCCATGAGCAAAGAGAATGCTGCTTGAGTGCTTTCCTAGAGGCAAGATTTTCCCAAAGAGCATCTTTCAATTTATTTACTTTCCTAAGCACCAACTTTCAAGTACTAATTGGAGCATCCTTCTCCCTTATCCACTATGCCAAAGTATATGTTCTGCAAGGCAGCATCCTTAGACCCATTAATCTATTCATATTGTTACTTTTTTAGACGATACCACCATCCTTTCAGCAAACCCAGCAGCCATCTTTCTTGTTTGGAAGAATGGCTTAAGAAATGGTGGATCAAACAACGAAAACCGAATCCCAACAAATAACCTTCACTCTCTCCACCAATCTACACCTCTGTTTCCAGCAATCAATGACATCCGCTATATGGGACTTTATATCAACAAAAGACTACTTGACATCAGATCAAAACTCTGACTACAAAACTAACACCCCATTTGTGAGATTCACTCCAGTCAAAACTGCTTCGAACAAATGTCCAAGTTCCGTTCTTCGTATCCAACTTTACAATCCACACAGACCTTCAAATTTCTCCTCAAAACCGCAACAAGTTGAAACAGGCGCCTCCCTACAACCCTCAACCGTCATACCAACTACCTACTCCAACACCTTTCTTCCTGAAAATTCTCTTATAACACCTGTTGATGTGTCAATGGCATAGCGATTTCCAAATTAGTGTAAAAAAATTAATGGATTACACCTCCACTCATATAATAGTAGGGTAAGAGCACCCCCACAGTACAGGAGGGCCTATCCGAGTGGGGTGAGACGAGCAGCAGGGCAAGACAAATGAAAAGAATAGGCACTAGGCAGTGAGAAAAGTAGGAAAAACGCAGATAGGAAAACAAAACACGTATTAGTAATGCTGTTATTTTACTTGTGCAAAACAAATTTAAAACGAAACTCTTAATTCTTTTAATTATGGATTTTCGTTTGAAGAAAAACCCCACTTAAATTCTTAAATATTACAAAGTAGGTTGGAGTGCTCTAATACTCTTGTAGCATAGCAATAATAATAATGAAATCTATCAAAGCTCATATTTTTGTGATAAAAAAGGGAGAAAAGTATTATAGTTTTTTATTTATTTATTTATATTTTTTCATTAATTTCATAAGTCATCAGTTAATAGAACTGCAGTGTCAAATATAAGCAATGTCACAAATGCAGGCATTTAGGAAAATGATAAAACTGTTGAAAGTTTGGCTAGGATATTCATTAAATATAAACATTTTTATTAATATTGAGAATCAGCAATGATAAATGAACCAAAAATTATAAAAACAAAATATTATTTAAGGGTTCAGGTGGTTAAAGGTTCAGTGTCAGCAACACAAGAAATACCATTAATAATTGTAATCAACTCTAATCATCAGATTGGCTCCAAATTATGAACAGTGTTGGAATAAGATATTCAAAAAATATGTTTTTAAATTTATTTTTTTGTTTTATTTTATTTTTTAAAGGGAGATTAATGGATGTAATTTTCAGTTTACATCAACCAATTTGATTGTAATCATTTGTGAAATTTCAATTTGCAAACTTGCTCCTTGTAGACATAAACAATAGTCAAATATATAATAAATAGTTCTTTAGGTCTGGGCAAAAAAGCCGAAACATTAGAAAAATCAAAAAGAAAAGTAAAAAAATTATGAACAATATAGTTTGGTCATAGAAATTATTAAGGTGGGGTATGGAGATTCACTTTTTGTAAATGATGGTTCTACACAGATTTTCGTGTACACCGACCAGATTTCAAGCATTAAACGCTCCTCATCAGATTGAAGGAGTTACAAATATTTCTATTGACATGAATTCCAATGTGTAACTCCATGTTTAATTTTACATTTTTTTATTTCAAATTTCTCAAATAAATCTAGTTCCTTCCCTTTGTTGAAAATGTAACAGTTGCATTTAAATTTAAATTGTGTTTGGTTCATTTAGATGGTCCTTAAATTCATAAAATTTGTTAGATTTAAACAAGTGTTCTTTAACTCTCGTTTTAATTTCTCTGTCACTTTGCCCTATATATTTAATATCGCAATTATTACTATTAAGTTGGTAAATCCCACTTTTTGACAAATTGTCAACCTTGCCTTTAGGTTTTGAAAAGATGTTTCTAAGTAAACACACATCTCTAAAAGCTACTCTAATCCCTTGTCATTTAAGTTTTACTTATTTTTTCTGATAGATCATCAATGTATGGCCTGCAATGTAAACCTAAAGATTCATTTTTTTGTGGGGTGGCTGAATCCAATTGTTGCTTCTTTTAATATTTTTTTAAATTCTTTTTACTAGCACCTATCAATAAATATTTCTTGATATATATTGTTATTAGCCAAGGTTTTAATGGTGTATAATTCCTTGTTATAATCAGCAGGTGTTAATGGGAGTTGCAATATACGGTCTATGAGCCAAATGAATCCATCCAGCAGTTTTTGGATCCATTGGTAAAAAAAATCTGCTGGTATCATGGTCTGTAGTTGTAGATGTTTTATATACATCAATTTCAATTAAGTTATTTATTACGGACAGTTTTAAGTCTAAAAAGTTTAAGCAACCATTTTTATTTCCAATGTAAAATTTATTAGGGTGTCAATAATTAAATGGGGGGGGGGGGGATTCTTTCAGATCCTCTAGTGTTCCCGACCATACAATAAAATCTCATCTGCTTAGCATTTCCAAAAAAAGGACAGATTTAATTAATTTATTATTTGATTTGAAAATAATTTTTTCAAAGTTATCCATGAATATTTCGGCCTAAAATGGGGATCATGGAGACCCCATTGGTAACCCTTAATTCCATAAAATTGATTATAAATGTACAATAATTAGATAGTAGGTATACATTTAAGAGGTCTGTATCATTTTTTTAATTAACTTTAAGAGAAGCAACAATCATACTTAGACACCCCACTGCAAATGAATCTTTAGATTTTCATTGTTTACCATGCATTGGGGGACTATCAGAAAAAGTAAGTAAAATCCCAACGAAAATCTTAAAAAGTGCCAAATTCCAGACCCCTTCCAAAACAATTAGCCTATCAATGTAATAATATCTACATTGTGGCCAAGTACGTTCTTTTTTTTAATCCATAGCCTCCATAATAAAATATAAAAGTTCCAGACTCCCTTGAGTTGAGATGTGTTTGTAACTCCTTTACGTTATGATTCGCGTTTAATGCTTGAAATCTGGATCGTTGTAAACAACACCTGTGACTAAAACCATCATTTAGAAAAAGTAGTTTGGCTATTTCCATCAATTTGGTTTGCCTATTACTGTTATATCTTAAAGGTGGCGAACAGCCATATCTGACAGACCGGAACAGCAAGGGTAGCCAAACGGAACTACAAGATCATCACCCCCATTAGTATATCTCACAATAAATTATATCATAGACATTGCCCCAAAAATGGAAATAGGCTGGCAAAAGTTCCAGAATGAAGGAAGGCTGGCAAAAAGAACAATGGAGTGGATTGTTGACAGCAAAAGAAAGAAGAGTAATTTACAGTTGAGTGATGAACTGAAGAACACCTGTGTCGTTTGTGGAGCAGATTGGCTAAGAATAAATTTAATTGGCCAAAAACTGGGATAGGCCTTAGCTCATGGGTGGCCATTACTTCCTGGGTCTCTAGGTAAAAAAGGAATTTTTATTATAAATGTGAGGGCTACATTAAATATAATTCTTAAAGATGAAAGAGTACCGCCACTCCCAA